GAAATAGTCCATGGAGATGTTTTCACAATCAAAGGTCAAAAATTCTTCACTATAATAGATAAGTTCTCGAAGTATGCGCAAGCGTATCCTCTCACGGGATTAACTGCAATCCATATCGCAAAAGCATTCATAACGTTTATGACCCATCACGGTACTCCTAAATTACTTGTTTTAGACCAAGGAACCGAACTAAAAAATACCATTATAAAAGAATTTGCCGCACTACACAAAATTGAAATCCATTATACCACAGCTCTGAACCCTAATTCGAACAGCCCAATAGAGAGATTCCATTCGACCATCATTGAACACCTCAGGATAATTGGAGAAACAAAAAAGGACTTGAACATCCTAGATCAGATGCCTTATGCAATCCTTGGCTATAACCATGCTATTCACTCAGTAACCAAACAACGTCCTATAGATATCATCAATGGACATCTCGATTCAAATAGTCCTTTTGACATCAATATTAGTGAAAAATTATACAACAATTATATTGAAGAACATAAAGATCGTACCATAGAAATCTATAAAAAACTCAACCAACAAATGACAAAGCAAAAAGAAAAAGTATTGGAAAAGGTTAATCAAAATAGGCACGACCCGTTGACTTATCAACCAAACACCCTAGTTTATCATAAAACTAGAGCTCGGAATAAAGCAAGTCCCCGATTCAAAGCTCACCATATCACAAAGAATAAAAAAAATCAATGTTTCAACAATACTGCGTAAAAACAAATCCACTACACCTTCAGTGACTAGCGGAGCAACAAAAGTCTACCATAAAAACAATCTGAAAAGGCCATTATCTAATCAAAAAACTATCGCATTACAGGATACTTCTCGCGCTGAAAGCGAACAGTGCTCAAGAAATAAGGATAACCAGTCTTGATTCTAATCCCGGGATCCTACCTTATAAACTAGGTGATGCCAAATTGAAAGCCACCCATCACACGTTCATCCACTACTTTGACCTGATTCCTATCGAAACCGAATTATTGAAATTAACTAAGCAATATGAAACAATAAAACAAATTATTCAGAGTCGACACCCACTGTACTATAGCGAATTGATAAATATAGATAATGCCATTCTTTTCAATCTCAATCTTGCTAGAGAAAAATTTAACTCCATACATCCGAGTAAGAGGGTTAAGAGGGGACTCATTGACGGTTTAGGTACTATCTTCAAAAGTATTTCGGGTAATTTGGACGCCGATGATGGCAAAAGATACGATGAAGCCATTGCCACCCTCGAAACTAATCAAGAAAATATTGCAACAACTTTGAACAAACAAATCTCATTAACTAAAAAGGTCATGAATGATTACGAGAAATCTTTGACGTTGATCAAACAAAACGAACAGCAAATGTCAGATAAAATTAACGAACTCGATAAAGAGCTAGACAAATTGTTATTTGACTTCAATAGTTACATCTCTGCGAAGATTGCCTTAGATCAATTGACAGCAATATTGAACATCCTATTACAAATACTTAATGGTTTGGAAAATTCTATCACTTTTGCAAGATTGAAAATTGTTCATGCTAGCAACTTGAAAATCGAAGATTTGGAATTTATAATACAAACACTCTTACGCCATCATCAACCGAACCAACTCTTATTTGGAAACGATAATACTACTTTACACAAATATTACGAAATTTTGGAAATCGAATCATATCAATCAAACGATAAAATAGTCTTTATTATTCACTTTCCTATAATGTTTCCCGAGACCTATTCATACTTCCATCTATATTCAATTCCTACCAAAACCAATACTATTCTGATCCCAACCAAAACTTTTCTGGCAATGAACGAAAACTTCTATCAGTATCAAGACACCGAATGCAGAAATACACATCCAATGTATTACTGTAGTACTGGAATACTTCAACAGCACTCCAATCAAAAGGACTGTATATACCAACTCCTACAATTAAAAGCGAAAGAACCGACTTCCTGCGAGCCAGTCCCAGTCTTAATCGAAGGCGAAATCATCGAACAAATTAACACCGCCCACTACATAGCCATATTTCGGGACGACACGAAAATCAAGACCGAATGTCACAAAACCGATTTGACAATTCTCAAAGGACCCTACTTCATCGAGGTTCCATCTGGATGCAGTTTCCACACGTCACGAGACTCATATACGAACAACGAGGACACTATCAAGGGACAACCCTTACTACTACCCTCCGTAAGAATTCCCACCAAGACATCTAGTACGCACCTACAAGAATTCGTCCTACATGATATACCCTTAGATCAAATACATCAAATACAAAAGGAACAGCAGAAGATCCATCAGGTCACCCTGAAGAACACGAAACAAGATGCATCCTATATTTGGGCCACACCCATCTACCTCCTATTCGCAGCTATATCGATTATTGGCCTGATATACCTATACTGGACGAGACGTTCGGTACCGGAGACTGCGGCACCCCAGGAGACAGCAACTAGGGTACCCGAAAACCCAAGACCAACCGCCAGAAGACTTCAACCCTGTCCAAGTACCGAAGACGACGACGAATGATCGATCCACCCCTTGTATGGATCTTTCTGGGATGGGAGGAGTTATATTCCATATTCCCAGGGAACCCATGGGAAATAGGCTACATCATCGATTCCGCAACTCAGCACTTCGAGGCGTTCTCACCAGAGGCGAGGCAGATTCCAGGAATTGAATCAGCAACTTTTATTTCACATTTTTATAATTCATTTCTCACGTAGCTCAGTCTTGGCTGAATATTTGTACTGTTCACATCAAATCAACTTGTGTCTACCTTTGTATCGAAAAATAAATGTTTTTTTAAAAAACCAAACTCTAGACGAGTTATAAAAGTCGCTGAACGAATTCTCTTCAAAACGGAAATAATAATAATAATAACATGTATTGAATCCAAGAAACATACAATGTTTATAGAGGGAAACAAAAAAAATAAAAATAAATAAATCAAATATTCAATACAACTAAAGATAAACAGTTCAATCAGAATAAATTGATATAAGGAGAGAGTTAAATTGATAAAATATATTTCTTCAGTTCACACTTAAATTTTGTGACGAACCTAATAGATTTTATTCTGTTGGGTAGACTATTATAAATATTTATTCCAAAAAAATACAATGATTTTTTCCCGATTTGGGTTTTTATTTTGACAGTTTTCAAATGTTCACTTTGTCTGGTGTGATGCTTATGGGTATCAGAATTGATATTGAAAGTAAGATTGCTCTTTCTTATTTTTAGTGAAATGAATGAAAATGCATATTTTCATTTTGAAGACAGAGTCAATATCTAGCAGATCCCTTGGTTTGTATAGTCTAGATGTTGATTCCAGAAATGGTAGTTTATAAATACATTTTTTCTGTGACGGGAAAAAAATTTGGCATTTCATCTTTGTTGGCAGGTTATAAAATGTGACTTTTCATGAATTACTTTTTTTCCGTGGGAAAAAAGTGAGTACTTTTTTCCTGGATATATATATCACATATATATACACTGTTGATGGCTTTTGTTGTGCTATAGTTCCGAAAAATGAGTCAATAATACCGTCTCCGAGAAGGAATTGCAAGTCCTTTTATCTTCCACCATTCGACATCGCGGTTACGTATATTACTAAACAACCACTAAACTCGCAATTTTTTGAAATCAAATCACGGAATTAGACTTGTTTACTTCAAAAGAATGATAAAGATGGCTACAACGCAGGTGTCCCTACTGTTAAAATCTTAAAATTTCACGTCGATAATTTTCAGATTTCAAAGTAATGTAATATCTTCTCAATATTGATTCGTCCTTTCCTCTCTCACAGAAAAAAATACTGTATTATACACGGGAAAAATATTGGATTTTAGCTCACGGTTTTTTGTCTCCCTCCGCTACTTTTTTCCCTTGTATAATAAATAACTATTTATGGCTTTATTTTGAAGAGATTGGAGAGGTTTCATAACAGATTCAACAAATTTTCAGGCAACAGAATTGTCATTGAAATGTCAAGTTTACTTCGTCGATGATTATTATTTTCTATTATTAACCCCACCATTCGCCATTTCATTCTTTTATCAGTGTTTGGTGTTCAGGGTTGGCCTCTAAGTTATACTTATTACATTAACTAGGTATAAATAATTATTTTCACAACATTAGCTCTGAATTTACTAAAGACTGACACAAAATGGGTCACAATGATTTTGAAGAACAACATAATTCTTTTGAAGCCTTGAAATAGGGTTATTGTTGCCATAATTCGTTGAGTGAAAGGTCAAGGAAAATAAAGGTTTTCTTGTTCTGGCCGGCGAATTGAATCTAATCAAACTAACTAGATCTGGAGAATTAATAAGGCCATTGACCAATTTATATAGGAGACACATATCCAACACTAATCTACGATTTTCTAAAGTTAGGAGATTAAGTTCCATTGAGATATTTGGGTAGTTTATATGAGCAACGTGATAACCCTTTTCTGAATTCGTTCCAAACTATCAATATGTATTTGATAAAAAGGTGTCCAAATGAAGGAACCATACTATAGTGAAGGTCTGACCAAATGGTAATAAAGTGAACTAAGTGTTTCAGGAGAGAATTGTTTACTGTTCCTAGTAATTAAACCTTAGTTTATTGAAGCAGTGTTCACTTCCTTAGTAATATGACTTCTAATAGTTAGTGTAACATCAAATAGTATGCCTATGTCCTTTATCCCATTGACTCTCTTCAATACAGAATTATTATTATCCCCACCATTCACGAGTCCATTCATATTCCATGTTTGGTGTCTGAGATTGATTGGCGTACACTTTTTAATGATTTATGAACGAATTGCGATGTCTATTGCTATCAAGCCTGAGCACTCACCCTAAAATGAACAAGTGTTTGTTATTATCCCCACCATTCATGATTCCATTCATTTATCCGTGTTCGGCGTTTAAAATTGGCGAGTACTTTTCAATGGCGATGTCTATCTATTCTAATTCATTCCGAGTTGCTTACCGATTGTCTCGACCGAATTCTGCGCGGCTACGGCCAGCTGCTCCTGCGAAGCTGCAGCCCCGGCGACCAGCGTCTTCGTGTCCTCGACCAGCGCCTTGGCCGTTTTCAGGATGTTCTCTCTATGATCGGCGAACGACTCGTGCTCGCTCTCCGAGTTCAAATTGCCCGCCGTCGCGAACATGATGGTGGTCTCGAGGTCACCGATGATGCCCGAGACGGTCGAGGCGGCGTTGATGCACGCCTTAACATATCACATAACAATCAATGAAGACAGTTTTTGTAATTTTTTCATTGCCAGCTTCTCCAAATACGAACATTTCGTTATTATTATTATTATCATGTTTACCTGCGTGCCCCTCGATCCAGACTGCAGCGTCGCCAGCACCCTGGACACCTTCTCGCACACGTTGCGCGAGCATTCGCCCACTTCGCGCAGCACGATGTCGTCTTTGCGTACGAGACACTGCCCGCTGACGTGCACGAGGTCGACGCATGCGCCGCCCAGCTGCTGAACGACCTCCCTGAGTCGCACAGCCACCTCGCTGTTGGTGGAGGAGGCGGCCGCCCCGATGCTGTCCGCCGCCAGCTGGGCGTACCTTTGAGGAGAAAACGTTAGAGGAATGTGAAGTTCTTCTTTCTTTATTGATTTTTAGACGGTTGTGGCACCGTGATAACCTCCATACTCCTGAACTTTTCTACGAATACAGAACATACAAGATACGAACTGTGAGTTAGTGCTTATATGATGTTTTGTCGCGTCCAGCTCACATTATTTCCGGTGTTCCTCAAGGGTCCATTCTTGGCCCTTTATTATTTTTGATATATACAGCAGACATTTAAGATAAAATAAAATTTTCAAATCTTCAAACTTATGCAGACGACACACAACTTGTGCATCATTTTGACCTCTCTGTTGCAACTGATAACTGTGAGGAAATAAATTGCGATTTACAAGCCATCAGTCAATATTCTGTTCAGCATAATTTAACATTGAATTCCACCAAAAGGGTAGCTATCTTATTTTGTTCTGAAGGAGTGAGAGAACAGCTCAAACAAAGTATACAATTGCACATAGGGGATACATCTTTAGAATACTCGACATCATCGAAAAATTTAGGACTCATCATTGAAGAAAAATTAAGATTTGTGGAACATGTCAAGACATTAATACAGCGCTCATATGCACGATTGAGCTCTTTGCAAACAAGACCATCATGAGTTTAAATCTGAGAAAACAATTATGTGAGTGTCTCGTATTGTCAATTTCCCAACATTGTAACATCGTTTATTTTCCCTGTTTAGAACAAAGAACCATTTACAGAATCCAGAAAATTCAAAATACATGTTGTCGACTCATTTTCAATGGGAACTTCAGTGGTTAGATGTGAGAAGAAGAAGTTGCTTAAGGATTATCTCAAGAGAAAAACTCATTTTCAGACAAAATGTCCGTAATATAAATGTTAGACATCAGCTAAAATTAACAATGCCTCATCATACCACGTCTCTGTTTGAAAGAAGCTTCACATACAACTCGGTTATACTGTATAATTCATTTCCGATAGAATTCAAACAATCACCATCGACGCAATTCCGTAAAAAAATTAAGAGCAATTTGTTGAATCATACTTTACATGTGAGACAATAAGTTAAAATGTAGATGTCAAGCTAGATTTAGGTTTTTAGGATTAGTATTAGGATTAGATAATAAGTCGAGCACAGGTTAAGTGTAAGAATAGCTTCCTAGCTAAACTTCGCCTGATGCACATACCACCTATGCCTCATGTTACTATGTAATATTCTTTTGAGGAAATAAAGACGGATTATATAGCTCTATAGCTCACTTGAGTGTATGACCACCAGAGGATGTTACCGTATCGGACGAAATTATCTTCACTTTTTTCTAGAAAAGGTTCGAAATTTGTCGTTATGTAAGTTGTCAGTGTCAAGAGTTGTCGTGCCTTCGTGACTTGTATTGTATTTGCCCTAAAACAATCTTTCTTTTTCAATTTTCGTTGTTCTAATATTCCTTTCGTTTATAGTTTTCTGTTATCAGTATTATAGTAGTTCGTTCTGATTGATAACTGTCTCTCAAATATTGTGCCTACCAGAACTTATGAAACCGTCTCCATCCATGGATTTGCAAGTGATATTTCTTTGCACAGGCTCATTACAAGTAAGATAATAGCAGAGCCCTGATCAAAAGCTGATAATCGATACTACTGATTCTACCTCTCATTTAAATTAGGCGTTGAACGTTGCAAAATTGGGGACTATGGTAGTGTCTGTAGCAACCATTTTGGGAAGGAATGATTTTTTGAATTTTTGAGTGACTGAGTGACCGTGACTGAACTCAAAGTCACTGAACAAACTACGCCGCCGGCCGAGACTGCCGAGAGCACCGCTCAACTCATTTACGATTTTCAAGGTTATGTAGGTTCGACAGGAAAACAATTGAAATAAGTGTTTCCTCGAGTTGACCGTATGGTGGCACTACTGTATCGGCCACAGAAACCTGTAGGTGATCCCTCGTCTGAGCAGACCAGATACTACAGCTCACTAGATTTTTTCTCCATATTTAGCAGTTTTGATTATATGTATCAAGATGAAATGAATAAATAGATTTCAAAAGGTGTGTGTTCAAAGACAGAGGATGACACCTACCTGTGCGACAGATCGGCTGCCAGCTGCGCCACCTTCTGCGTATCGGTGGCGGCCTTGGTCGATATCTCGCCGGCCATCTTAGCCACGTCCTTGGCGCACTGCACCATGCGCGTCTGGTAGTCGACGTAGCCCATATCGGAGTCGGACACGATCAGCGACGAGCGGTTGTCAGACAGCCGGGCTATCGACCGCGTCAGGTTCTCCACCACGCCCGACACGATGCCGCTTTGCGTCGAGATGTGCTCGAGGCTGGTCACCTGAGATAAGGTGATTTTAATGGATGATTCCTTTCAGATACAGTGGAGTTGATTTCTTTTTAATTGACTCGGCCGTTACTTGATGGAAATCCATGGCAAATATACAAACGATAAGATTTCCACAAACTTCTTGAACACACAACATGTTTCGCAAACACAGTAGCTTCGTCAGGTGATTATACTGGTACAGGGTGATTGACTATGGATTTCTCGACTTCAACAGCTGATATCTCTAAAACGAAAAAAGATATTTGAAATTTGGAAAAAGGTACTTGAATGAGATGTCATTTCCTTCTAGAAAATGTGTTCTCTGCTTGATTTCATCATTTCATATACAGGGTTTGTGAAATTTTTTTTTTTCAAATGGAACTCCCTGTATATTATCGCATATTTCGAAAGAGCTATCTTTCCTGATTTTGAAAATATATACTTTTCATATATTCTATAGAGGGCTTGACGAAATATCGGCAAAATTAAATATTAATATATGGTCCAAGTTAGCTATGGTTGAAATAGAATGAGATGATGAAATAAGTGAATTGACATTTGGTCAACATTCCAGTGACATAAGTGCGCAAAATTTCGACAATTTTTTCACGATGCCATATCCACTGGAACAAAGAAGAGATATTTTGGAGTGCTATTTTTCTGTTAATAAAAATCTTGCTGAAACACTTCGTAAGTTTATGAGGAGTTATCCAGGCAGGAGATTACCAAGTAAGAATTATGTAAAGTATTTGGCTGCTAAATTTGACAGAACTTCCAGTTTGTCGAATATCAAGAGAATAGTGAGAAGGCAAGACAACGAAGACGAGGAACTTCTTGTAATCCAGTATTTTGTTGAGGATCCTTCACATTCAATAAGAAATGCAGTGAGAGAGTTTGGTTTCAGCTATTATTTTGTTCAACATACCTTAAAGAAATATAAATATAGGGATTTCCGAATTAGACCATGCCACAAACTCAATTATGATGATAATGAGAAGCGGATTGAATTTTGTCTTGTCATATCTGAAAGATTAAATATGAGGCAAGATTTTCATTAACTGAAAAATAGCACTCCAAAATATCTCTTCTTTGTTCCAGTGGATATGGCATCGTGAAAAAATTGTCGAAATTTTGCGCACCTATGTCACTGGAATGTTGACCAAATGTCAATTCACTTATTCATCATCTCATTCTATTTCAACCATAGCTAACTTGGACCATATTATTATATTAATATTTAATTTTGCTGATATTTCGTCAAGCTCTCTATAGAATATATGAAAAGTATATATTTTCAAAATCAGGAAAAATAGCTCTTTCGAAATATGCGATACCATTTGAAAAAAAAAAAAAATTTTTTTTCACAAACCCTTTATATGAAATGATAAAATCAAGCAGAGAACACATTTTCTAGAAGGAAATGACATCTCATTCATGTAACTTTTTCCAAATTTCGAATATCTTTTTTCGTTTTCGAGATATCAGCAATTGAAGTCGAGAAATCCATAGTCAATCACCCGTACAATGAACTAAGGCAACGTTGGCTTGCTTAACTTTTATATACCCTACTTTCCCAACTTGAAGGATTAATCGCTTGACACTGATATTGGGACATAAGGTCTTCAAGTGTTCAGTTCTCGAGATACAGGGCGCGTAAAGTTAAGAAATGAAAATAGTTGTTTCGCAATATCTCAAGAATAATTGAATATAATGCATTCGGTATATGGTTTCATCTTTGAATGGGTCATTTTTTGACCAGAAAGCCATTCCGGACATTTTATCCAGTGGTGCCCTACAGGGGGTTGTGGTAACTTTTCCTCCCATATTTTCAACACCACTGATTAAATTTCAATTATTTCCAATTCCTCGAATTCATTGTTCAATTTTGCTAAAAAAAATGCATCTCCTTCAACTGAACTGAAATGAACAGTTTTCGAGATATTCGACCCAAAATAGAAGATTGCATAGTAATATTTCATCATTTTCAGTAGTAGAAAATTGCAAAAATATTTTTCTGGTGTTGAGTAGATTTGATACTATTCAGATCCCATTCTGTAGCTGAACAGTAATGGTTATTGCATGCATAAAGAGAAAACAAACATTTTTGTAATTTTCTACTACTGAGGAAGATGAAAAATTACTATGCAAACTTCTATTTTGGGTAAAATATCTAGATAACTGTTCATTTTAGCTCAGTTGAAGGTGTTAATTGAACAATCCATTCGAATTGGAAAAAATCGAAATTCCTTCCATCAATGGCGTAAAAAATATGGGAGGAAAAGGTTTCACAACCCCCTGTAGCGCTTCTCTGGATAAAATTCTCGGAATTTCTTTCTGGTCAAAAAATGAACCATTGAAAGATGAAACCATATACCGACTTTGAATGCATCATATCTAATTCTTCTTGAGATATTGCGGAAAAACTATTTCAATTTCTCAACTTCAACACCCTGTATCTCGAGAACTGAACACTTGGAGACTGTATGTCCCTATCTCAGTGATTATGAAATCACGACGGCGTTGTGGGTCGAATTTCGCAACACCCTGTATATTTTTCATAGACCTCTACAAAAAATTAACTTCATTACAAAAATTACAATTCCAGAGTTTTGAGGTACTCTATGTAAAACTGACATGTAATAAGTGGATTCGTCATTTATACATAGATTCTGTTTGCGACCAGATGAGTATGATTTGAAAAAAAGTTGTGGCACAGTAGTATGACAACTTTTCAATGAAAGTTATTATCTCCCATTAAAAAACATGAGACAAAATGCGAAAATCCTCACCAGATCTTGTACGGTGTCTCGGGTGGAATTGGCGCACTCGTCGATATCAGGGTGGATGTTGACGGCCTTGGGATTGCCGCCGCAATCTTTGGCGGCATAGATGAACTGCAACGTGGACTCGGCTATCGACTTCGCCTGGTCCAGCAACTGCTCCTGCTGCTTGGAATTGGTCATGTTGGAGGCGGCTCCGATGGTGCTATCCACCAGCGGCTCGAAGTACTGCACCATTTGGTTGACGGCGTGACCTTGAAAGAAGGAATCGTTCAGAGCTCCAACGAAAACACACCTCGTAATCGTAAGAATATGACTACACATTAGATTGATGTTGAAATGAAGTTAGGAAAAAAACATTGTGCATATTCGTATCCTCAAATATGGGGATCATCAAATTCAAGATTCTGGAATATCAATGCAGTTTTTCAAACTCAAACAGTCGGTAGATCGACAGGTAGTGACGATTTCATTGCTAAGACAAAATGCAAGCAAAGTCCCTCGTTTCATTATAAACAGTGGAGGAATCCAAAGATCTCTGATTGATTGCTGTTTTCAAAACGCGATTTCACTAGCGCGACTCTAACGTTGTCAGTTTAAATTTTGTTTTATGTTATATTCAGAAAAACTCTGTATTTGGTGTCATGAGACTTTATAATGGCTAGGTTCCTACATAGTTAGAATGATATTTTTTATAGTCTCGATTTCCTGATTATTATGATGATTGATTTGATTTGATTGATTTGATTTATTGATTCGTTCGATATAACAAGAAACTTAGATATATCAACAATTTATAACAGTTATCCTTCATTATCAGAAATGTTCACCTAAGCACTTGAGGCGCTTGTTTTTAATTAAAATGAATGGTAATCATATTATACATATTAATGTACTAGTCTCAATGAAAATATATATTACTATCAAATAGATGGAATTCTTGTTGGATTTGATCGAAAATTCAATTAATGATTGTTTGGGATTATTTCTACTTTTTTTTTTTTTTTTCATCTTACATGTCAATCTCGTAGTGGTTGATGTGGCAGGGATCCATGTCTTCATTCGCATATATTCATATATAACACGATGAGGTTCGTTCATATATGCTTATATACATACACACGTTTAAACATATATATATATTTCTGGCGTATAAAGTGAGGTCCGATTGTGCAAAAATCACGGAAGTTGTGAGGCCCATGTCAAAGCGAGGTCCGTATACGGTCCTCATAACGTTTTCACCTGTTAAATCTGCTCTTCTTCTCAATTTGCAGTTAAAAGTAGTATTTCTGCTGAATGCGATGCTGCTATAGTTAGGTTCATTGACTGTTTGCACAAATCTCCCACTGATAATCGATCTACTGCCCATGTATGGTGGACCTCACTTTGAACCAAGTATGATAAAACTCATTTATTTTAGTTCAGGATATTGCCACTTGGAACGCTGCTGCGCGAGTATACTTTCTGTACGTGTATATTTCAGTCCCAGTGAAATGATATGATGGGCACGAAATGGGGACCAAAGAACTGGCAACGTAGCATGGTGTGCGAGACTCATGAATTCCAGTGACAATGCATTATGAAATTTTTGTTGAAGATGAAAACAAAATAGCGGCTCCAATATGGCGGACGAGTTTTGTAATTATGATTCGATTTCATTGAAAATTTGTATCTGGGGGTTTTTGGGGTCGAGAATTATGATTCTTTCATCAAAATTGAAAATTCAAAATGGCGGCTCCAATATGGCGGACAAGTTTTGTAGTTATGATCCGATTCTATTCAAAATCAGTATTTGGAGGTTTTTGGGGTCCAAGATTATGATTCTTTCAATGAAATTGGAATATTCAAAATGGCGGCTCCAATTAGCGGACGAGTTCTGAAATTATGATCCGATTCTATTCAAAATTGGTATCTGGTTTTCGCGGTCGACATTTATGATTCTTTCATCAAAATTGAGGAATTCATGATGGCGGCAAAATTAAAAAAATCAAAATGGCGGCTCCAATATGGCAGACGAGGTTTGTAATTATGATTCGATTTCATTCAAGATTTGTATATGAAGGTTTTCGGGTTAGAGAATTGAGATTCTTTCATCGAAGTTGAAATATTCAAAATGGCGGCTTCAATATGGCGGACGTGTTTTGTGATTATGATCCGATTCCATTTGAAATTGGTATCTGGGGGTTTTTGGGGTCGACATTTATGATTCTATCATCAAAATTGAATAATTCATGCTGGCGGCAAAATCGAAAAAATCGAAATGGCGGCTTCTATATGGCAGACGAGTTTTGTAATTATGATCCGATTTCATTCAAAATTTGTATCTGAAGGTTTTTGGGTTAGAGAATTGAGATTCTATCATCAAAGTTGAAAAATTCAAAATGGCGGCTTCTATATGGCGGACGAGTTTTGTGATTATGATCCGATTCTATTTGAAATTGGTATCTGAGGGTTTTTGGGGTCGAGACTCATGATTATTCCATCAGAATTGGGAAGTTCATGATGGCGGCAGAATCGAAAAATTCAAAATGGCGACTCCAATATAACGGATGAGTTTTGTAATTATGATCCGATTCTATTCAGAATTTGCATCTAGGGATTTTCGGGGTCGACGATTATGATTCTTTTATCAAAATTGAAAAATCCAAGATGGCGGCTCCAATATGGCAGACGAGTTTTGTAATAATGATACGATTTCATCCAAAATTTGTATATGGAGGTTTTCGGGTTAGAGAATTGAGATTCTCTCATCAAAGTTGAAAAATTCAAAATGGCGGCTTCAATATGGCAATCGAGTTTTGTGATTATGATCCGATTCTATTTGAAATTGGTATCTGGGGGTTTGCGGTGTCCACATTTATGATTTTATCATCAGAATTTAAAAATTTATGTTGGCAGCAGAATAAAAAAAATCGAAATGGCGGCTCCAATATGGCAGACGAGTTTTGTAATTATGATCCGATTCCATTCAAAATTCGTAATTGGAAGTTTTCGGGTTAGCGAATTGAGATTATCTCATCAAAGTTGGAAAATTCAAAAGGGCGGCTTCAATATGGCGGACGAGTTTTGTGATTATGATCCGATTCTATTTAAAATTGCTATCTGAGGGTTTTTGGGGTCGAGACTCATGATTCTTTCATCAAAATTGGATAGTTCATGATGGCGGCAGAATCGGAAAATTCAAAATGGTGACTCCAATATGGCAGACGAGTTTCGTAATCATGATCCGATCATATTCAAATTTGGTAACTGAGGATTTTCGGGTCGGAGATTATAATTATCTTGTCAAAATTGCTTTTGTTAGTCAATAAAACGAAATGATGGTTTTGAGCGATATCGAACGACTTTCATTATTACACTCCAATTCTATTCGAAACTGATGTGTGGATTAATTATTTAGGATGGCGGCTCCACGATCCTAAGTGAGTTATATAGACCAGTGCTGAAGTCTTTGAAAACGGTAAAATGTGGAGAAAAATTAAAGTAGTATGAAACTCATTGAAAAAGGAAGAGAGTATAACAAAGATGAAAGGGAAAACAAATCATGGTCAATCTGAGGTCGGAAAGTGGTAGGGGGTGAGTTTTCAAGGTTGTGAAAAACGGTTTATCTCGATTTTCAGCAAAACTTCAAACCCAATGGAAAAAAGTTGGAGAGCAAAGTTGTAGACAATATTAATATCTCTAACTTTTATATCTACACTATTTTCACATAACTCCGAGATTTATTTGAAAAAATCAGATAACCAAGTAATTGGTTTTTATTTTATCCTTCAGAATAAAAATATTTCTTCACGAAATTTAGTGAAAACTCACCACTTTATATCCCAAATACATTGTAATTTCTTTGATTCAGAATATTCATTTTTCCACCTCATTAAACTTAATGAAGAAAAAGCACCCTAATTCTGAATCGAAAATTCTCACGTCAAAATATCTGCTTTTTCAAAAAAGTCGATGAGCTTTTTGTTTGTTGAAATCTCTACTTTCTGATTGTGTGAAAAATATATACATTACTAGGGTAAATTTCCTCAGAAAATGCAAACAGAATAACAGGTATAGTAAGTTGATATTCAATATGACATCTACAATATTCTGGAAAGTACTGAAATCTTCTTTGAATTATATGCGTTGATGCCTATTTCTTGTGATAGTAACATACTCTAAATACCTGAGTGATCTGAGGAAAATTTGAGCCAATTAGAAGGTTTTTCATAGAGAAGTGGAGTAGGGGCAGGAGGGGCTGGGCCTCAATACCTGTTATTCTGTTTGCATTTTCTGAGAACATCCACCATAGTAATGCATAGTTTTTTTACATCAGAAAGTTGAGATTTCAACGAACAAAATGTCCACAGACTTGTTTGAAAAACCAGATATTTTGACGCTAGAATTTTCGATTGAAAATCAGGGCGCTTATTCGATATTGAGTCGAAATAAAGTGAAGAAATGAATATTCCGAATCAAAAAAACAACAGTGTATTTGGGATATAAAGGGCTAAGTTTTCACTGAATTTCGTGTAAAAATGTTTTTTATTGTGAAAGATGAAAATAACTGCACGTGCTCAACTGGGGCACATAAGGCATGCGCAGTGACATATGGCAACATTGTGTGGTCCCCACTTCATACGCTGCAAGGATATATACACAATAAATGGACCTGACTCTGGTAGGAGCATGTAAAAAGTAAATGGATCTCACTTTGATGTTGTGGTGTACAGTCCTCACTTCGTTCATATATAGGCGTGAAAACTAAATCCTAAATAGTCAATATTTTACGCGTATATTCCAGAACCCCATGACGTCCTCTATTGAATGAGGACGGAGAATGCTTAGAGAGCGTCTAGCATGATTCCTTCTGATAGTCCTCACAACGTCGACTGTGTGGTGTGTCCTCACTCTGATAGCTGGCCGCAAATATATATATATTTTCATCCAGAGACACAACTGATTTTTTCATTAATCATATGTATATAAATATTTTCATAGAAGCTTCACTAGTGTCAGATAGTTAAGGTTGATGAATTGTTTTATACCAGTTTTATATTTATTAAATGAGAGGTTTTCTTTCAAACTGCGGTCTAGTATATTGTAAAATTTAGGACCAAAATAGAAAATTGTTCGTTGTGTATGAGTTTTTTTAAAAATGGGAATCATTACATTCAAATTTTCGGTAGATCTAGTATTTTTTATCTTTTCGCTATAGTAAAAATATTTATTATTATACATCCATATAAGACAGTGATAAATATAAATACATCTTATGTTATACAAATTGGTTTCTTTATAGAGCTGTTCTGTTGAGTACAGTTTTTTTTTCTTAAGAATTATTTTAATTAAAGTATTTTGCATGGCTTGGAGACTGTACAGGTTGCAGTCAAATATACCACCCCACACGGAAATACAATACCTAATCACTGATTCTGCTAAAGATCTGTATACCGTCATTAGATTTTTTGGAAAACGCTATTTGAAGACGATGTGAATCATTTTGATATCGAGAAAAAAGGATGCCCTTTTTTATCGCTGATAAACTGCCTGCTCCTTAGATCTAGTAGCTATTTGCGCCGGATCGCACTCCAATTTCTGTCGTGTCAAGTTTGATTGATGGGTATGGTTCACGTGTAAATTAGCAAGATGAGCCGTTTTACGAAAATTTCGTCTGAAGGAACCACGAAAATATGAGAAAATTAATTCCGATATATATCACCTGACGAAGCTACTGTGTTAGCGAAACATGTCGTGTGTTTGAGAATTTTGTGGAAATCTTATCGTTTGTGAATTTTTTACATTTGCCATGGATTTTCATCAAATAACGGCCAAGTCAATTCAAAAAATAAAAAAGTTTCTATATTGACTCAATCAATTGTACCTGACACTATTCTCTTTAATTTTGATGACTGTGATTGATATGTTCTTAATGTTATGTCACTGTGATTGTCATTCTTGAAAATGAAGCCCTGTCTATTCTATTCTAATATAAGTAATGGAAATTATTTGATTATTTCTTATCCAGAAGGTTATGAATTCTTCTTCTGAATTTCCTTTCATTTTCATTTCCTGCTTGCTTGGATTTTTAAATACGAACATCAAAATTAATACCTATATTCACACTAGAGTCATCAATTCATCACTTACGTCATTGCCATCTGGAAATTTATTGATTGGTCTAGTTCAGAAATAGAAATGACTTCAATGTCCAGATTGCCCAAACAAAGCTAATCAGTGTGAACATTTTCGAATTATTCCAGAAACTGAGCACAATAACAAGGCAAAAACGAATCTTGACAGGTGCGCCAAAGTGCTAGGCAAAATTATGAGGCATTTGGCAAATTATCAATGAATAGACGAGAGACAAAAAAAATGGATGAAAATAACTGATACACATTCAAATTCAAGGCACAATTCAATTACTCACCTATATTTTCTGCTTCATATTTTGCGGCATGCCTTAAAGGTTCGATGGTGTCGAACAATCCGGCAGCAGACCTCGCCACTTGTTGACTGAAGATGGGAAGGGTGGCTGATTTTTGGGGAGGCAATGATTGCGACACTGCATCCATATAGGCAGCGTCCAAAGTTTTCAGGTGATGCTTGATGATCAGAGCAGCGCTCTCACACTCGTTTCTTCCTGGTGCCTCATTCCTTACAAGAAAAAAAAAACATAATTGGAAATACGATTCTAAAAATTGATGGGCCGATCAGAACAATTTTAAGGAGTCATGTAATTTCTGGAGAAATCGAATGATTTATTCACACATATTATTATAGAATGTGAAATTTTGTCAATTCAAAACAATGCTCAAGAACAGTACTAAACTAATTATTCGTATTACTAAGCAGCAAGGTAGTAGATTGACTTCTGGGGCTGCCGTGTGAAAGATATAAAACTAATTTTGTCTGATTTTTTATTGAAAACTCCGTTTTGTGTTCACCCAATGTCAGTGTCAATTTTGATTACCAATTCTATACCGCTTGGAGAAAAAACATTATTCTATTCCCAGTTGTGAATGAAGGAAAAATGTCGAAGTCCCCCCAAGATTGAGTCTCAACATATCGAAATGTCTGAGACCTGGCGGCATGGCACAAATAGGCAATGTGTTGGTACAACTTTACACAATATATTTCATTCAATGTACTGATTTTCTCACGTTTTCGAAGCTGAATTTAAGAATGTGAAAACACTACATTTGATTCCTTCAATGATTAAATGATTTGCTTCTTGAAGATATTTTCAGTGTCTTCTATTTTGAACTAAGTTATTTATTCATATTTTATATTCCAGTCACGATCTATTTTTCTGTTAGCACTCAATATTAAATATGAACATTTTTCATATGCACACATACGTATATATAGTTCAATAAAATATGGATGCCAAAATAAAAAACCGTTGTTTATGAGATGATAAAATAGCTTGATTCATTGATGCTATTTGAATATGAGTAGGCACTGGAAACTCAGCAATGCTGTGATGAAACATTACTGTTAGCGCTTGATCCAAATGAAGAATGAAAAGGTAGAAACTGCTTATTCACCCCTAAATATTTGATAACTTTACTATGTCTCTAAAAATCTCACATACGCAAAGTTGCCTTCCAGTGGAAGTAATCTTGATAAGGAAAAATTATGTGAATGTAATATTGACGAAAAATATCCCAGAAGGTTGATTAAAAGTTTCATATTAAAACAAAATGGATGACTTCACATCTGAAATGAGGATTTATGTAGCAGTGAGGTTATGACTCATAGGAAAACGCCTCTAGCACAGTTTCCTTATTGCCGAGACGTTTCGAGATTACAGCATCTGTAGGTCCAGCTTGATCCGTATTGAACGAAAAAAAAAAAAAAAAAAAAAAAAAAAAATTGCGAGTGCACCTAGTGGGCCGAAATAACTCAATTTTATCACTAGTGATTGACTTATATCCGTCTATACGGTACTTAATATACTTCGAAGACAATTTTATCAACCACTATTAGACTGCTAGACCATTAGTGTCGTTCTTTATCCAGGAGCGGTCTCTCTCCGGCTAGTCGTTGTTTTTCGTCGAGTCACTCAAAAACTCGTCAATTTCAGAACAAATTCGATATCAGTATTGGTACCGAGAATATACGGGGTGGGGTGAACATATACAATTTTATTAGAAACGAAAAATTCGTTTCACGACAATGGTTCAGTTCAATCCACACTCACTTTATGTTGATGACCAGCTGTTTGATGGAGTCCGAGACATTCTTGGAGCTGGCCGAGAACTGTTGCCAGGTCGACGGATCTCCAGGCATCACGATGAGGTTCTTCGTGCAGGCGATGACGGCGCACGCGCTGTCTATGAGCCGTCGACCCGACTCGATGACGGGCTGCTGCGCCTGTCTAGCCTGCACCGGTATCTTGGCAGGTACGGTGGCGAACTCGCTGGAACTCGCGTAGACACAGAGGTTGTCGACGGCATCTGATTCAAATGGAGATTCGAAATTGTTTCAATAATAGGGTGATTTTTTTTGATTTGATATGGATCACAAATACAGGCTCACTAACAAAAAACGAAGTACATGAAGTACATCGTGAGTATATGTAGTGATAAAAAGATAAAAAAGAGCGAATACTCTGGTAAATGCCTATCCAAGAGATACAGATAATGTCTTTTTCGTGAAATATATCGGTCGACAGTGGTTTGTTCACATTTTCATCATGAAATAATGACCTTGGCGACCGCGAATAGGGAGTTAGACGGTAGACTTCGTCAGTCTTCGCTGCTTCTTTGTTCTTTGTCCAATGCACAATCCTGTTTCAGATATTTTTGTATGTTAATAATTATGTTATAGAAGGATATAAATTTCAGTTGGATGTATCCTAATTTGGTAAACCCTAGACCTCGAATTTTCAATTTAATCAACAGAAATCATCGTAATTCCCATTATGAAATTCGTCTTTTCCAGGCAAAAATAAGTAGCAAAACAAAAAAAAAATCGAAAAAAAAAACATCCCATGATAAGTGCAAATATTAATATCATCATTACCTAGCAGCGGCCTGGTCGCCTCCGCGCACCTCCCCCTATTCTCCTCCGAATAGCACGCGTCCAGCGCCTTGATCTCCTTCACCAGCGCTGCCGTGCTATTGGCCACCGCCTTCGCGCTCTGCACGAACTGCCGCTTCGCCACCGGATTGGCCGTCTTCGCGCTGGCCGACCGGCACGAGTTGCAGAGGGCGCTCGTGTGCTTCGCGATCAGCGTCGCCGCCTCGAGCACCTGCTTCTGCGGACTGGAGGGGGCCGCGAGGGCGGCGCAGCCCTGCCGGATGGCCTGCGAGGCGCGGGCGAACTGCGCCTGGTCGACCAGCCCGGGGCGGCCGGCGATGCTCGACGGGTCCGAAACGCCGATCTGGAATGGTCCGAGAATGTTTCAGAATATTTCAGACGGTTCCAGGAAAGTTAGGAAAGTTCTAGAACGGTACAGGATGTTTCAAAACGTTACAGAATTTTCCAGAATATTCGAGTACTCTCTAAAAAGATTCGATAATGTTGGAGAATGGCCTAGAATTATATATATAATACTGGTATCAGTATATCACCTGACGAAGCTACTGTGATAGCGAAACAGGTCGTGTGTTTGAGAATTTTGTGGAAATCCTATCGTTTGTGAAGTTTTAACATTGATCCAAAATGGCACATAATATTTCAGAAGTTTCGAGATTGTTCCAGAATGTTGATTTATCATTCATAATTTCCAGAATATAAGAGAGTGCTCTGGAATGTTTCATAATGTTCCAGAATTCTCTGGATTGTTTCATAATGTTCGAAAACGCTCTAGGACGTACAAGAAAGTTATAGAATCTTCCAAAAGGTTCGAGGATATTTTAGTACCTTCAAGAATGTTAGCTGGTGTTCCAGAATTTTTTAACATACTCAATGATATTCTACAATGCTCCAAAAGGTTTGAGAATATTTCAGAATGTTCCAAAATGTAAGAGAAATCATTCAGAAAGTTCGAGAATTTCCCAGACAGCAAAATTGAGAATATGATGATTGAGTTTAGCTTTAGAATCATTTCTGTATTTGAAGGATTGAAATGTGTTATTGACATAGGAACAGATAATGTATCCCTCAGGTTGAAAACAATTGTGTGTCCTGAAGCAAAGTATTTATAAAATACTAATACTCCATCTTCTCAAGGAATTAAACATTGAAATTGAATAATAAAATGTCAGGACTCAAACACAATACAGTTCCCCAAAATACGGATCGAACATAACAGGTCAGGTTTGCCAAAAATCTCACTCACCAAATAAGCAGTTTGCGCCGACGTCTCGATCAACGAACAGATAGCATTGCTGAAACTATTGACGTGCTCCGTGAACTTCTCGTGCTCTGAAGCCTTCGCACTGGCCGTAATACCCGAAATCCCCTCTCCCAGGGCCTTATTCTTCTCAATAACAGCATCGAGCGCCTCGTAATAAGAACTGTCATTAATCGGCTCGGTAGGATTGTCCAGCAAGTACCCCATGGCCCTGATCTTCCTGATGGCATTGTCGCACTCGTTCTGTCCTGGCGCAGCTGAAGTGCAAACGTCAACCAAGAAGTTGATGCTGTCGGTGACCGCCCTCGCTGCTGCAGCCAGCTGATTCTTCCCGTTGGGCAGCTTCGGATCCGCAGACAGAGACTTGGCGGTGGTCAGCAGAGCGCTCGAAGTCGTCGATACGTTCTTCAGAGAGTGCACCATCTCGCCTCTGACGCTAACATCGGGCGTCTGCCCCGCCATCTCCAAGGACACTGTTAACAAATCTTGGTAGGCGGTGGCGAACTCCCTCGAGGTTCCCGCTAGCTGCACCGAGCTGCCCACCGATTGTACCACGCTGGAACTAGCTTCGTTCAAGTTCGCAGCGGCAGCGTTCAGCTCCTGTTGGAGCTTACCATAGCTCTTCTGCGTCTGCGGTAAGTTACTGGTGTTGATCGTAGAAGACCATTCGATTATGTTGGTGATGGCTGTATCGACATCCCTTTGTCCGGGCAGGCACCCCATGGTGGCGTTCAGGGCCTGTGAAATATCTTTGGCAGCTTTCTGCAGCCCTGGCGTCAAGCTGACAGTTTGCAAGCTCTTTTGGGCTTCGGACACTAGCAGGGCAGAGTGCGCGAGCACTTCTTGGCCCTTGCTGATGATCTTTCTTTGCACATCGATGTTGTCTGAGGTGGCTGCGACCGATCGCACTGCCCCGGTGAGGTTCTTGAGACTGTGGGCGGTGTCTCGGGCGGCTTGCGAGGTGTACATCTCGTTGCCTTGGGCGGTGGCGCTCAGGAGCTGAGACACGCCCTGGTTGACTAGTTTGCTACTTGTGGCCAGTTGTTGAGCGGCTCTTTCGGGTGTATCTTCGGGCAACGGTCTCAGCCTGTGTGACAGAGGGCGACGATTTGAATCGCGATTATCGACAACTTCATTTAAATGGATTACGATGAGAATGAATATTATACAATTCCAAAGTACAGTCAAAAATATATTTTGCTGCAAAGAGATGATCAAAGTTGACAGAATTTATTATGAATTTACAGGATAGTCTTTTCGTTTACCTTCTCTTCTTGTTCACTATGAGTACTGTTATCTCAATATATCCTAATAATATAATAGTTTAATGAGAAAATATTCAACATTAACGAACCTACAGCGTGTCTCATCTCAAACGGCCACCCATCTATATTTCAGCTATTAGTCTCGCGATCTTTTCCAAATCGGGACTGGTATGTATGACCATCAATATGATCAGTTTTTCAGAGACATACATCCTTTTCGACAGTGCCGTGCGTTTTTATTGAAATAAAAAGGGATACATTTTTCATGAATTGATATTAGGAATATTTTCACAGGAAAACTATTCTCGTAATATTGTTCTTCATGGTTATTCCTTCGATGTTTTTCAAAAAAACAGGCACATCTGAACTGCATTTTTGCAAACGTAATAATTATTTACCCGGAAACAGTGAGTTAAACATAAAATAAGTGTTTCTTGATTTTTTTCCAATCACAATTTTCTACCTTCCAGAGCTATTGAACGTTTCAAATTTTGCAGTTAATTTGAATTCACTATTTTTTCGAGTCTGAAAATGAAAGACAAAATTTGGAATGAGGTGTTTTTGCATATGGAGGTTAAGGTTAAAAAGCATAAGGAACAATAATATGAAGACAGTTTTCTCGCATAAAATTCCTAATATGATTTCTGATCATAGTCATATTGATGTTTATTCATAACGGTCCAAATTTGGTAGGAATCGCATGACTAATAGCTGTAATATAGTGGGGTGGGGGGAGCGTTAGGATTCGTTGATGTTAAATATTTTCTCATGAATCTTGGTGCAGATCTATTTAAGAAGACGCCGAATCTAGTGGTGTATGCCAATTATTCCTAAAAAAATCGCTAATATGGATTCTGGATTTTTCAGCCTTTGAATGTGATCTAGTAGGCCTTGGTTTTTCAGAAAAGAGGACGCCTCTTAGGTCTTAAATATCTTTCCTTCCTCTACATTGAAAAAAAAATCAATAAAAAAATTATGAGGGTTGTCCGCTTTCAAATGGGTCATCCTGTCCATATGTATGAATTTGTATAAAAATTGTAATACTGAAAGATCTAATGCAATAACTGGTATGAATAATGATAATCCAGAATTCTTCAATGAGTATAAAATACAAAGAAATAAAGTGAATGCTATGATCAAACGAGCAAAGGCCAAATATATCAATAAAAAGTTTGAAGACTCTGAATGCAACCCGAAGAAAATGTGGGATACAATAAATTATTGTCTTAGAGATGGATCAAAAATGATCTACACGATCTCCACTTTTCTGTTCCTCTACCAGAACTTGATTCTGACTGGAAGTCACATTTTCAATAAATAAAATAAAGATGAAATGAACTCTGACCTGTGCGCGTCGACCGCTCGTTGGAACTCGTCGAGCTCCTCCCGCAGATCGTCGATCAGCTGCCGCGCAGCGTCCACCCCCAGGCCCTGGCAGGCCGGCTTGGCGCGCCCGATGGCGCCGTGCAGCTCGCCCAGATCGGCGTTTAGCTGTCGGCTGGTCTGCGCCACCTGCTCCCTGATCGAGTGGTCGGTCAGCGTGGGCAGCGCCGATCGGGCGGACTGCACGAACTGCGTGGCCGGGTGCAGGAACACCTCGGCGATGTACATCAGCTCCACCTTAGAAATCGAAATGGTCTCTGTTATCATTGAAAATAGTCGAGAATTGTTGGAAAACTTGTACAAAAGAAAAAAACACCTCGGCGATGTACATCAGCTCCACCTTAGAAATCGAAATGGTCTCTGTTATCATTGAAAATAGTCGAGAATTGTTGGAAAACGTGTACAAAAGAAAAGAACACCTCGGCGATGTATATCAGCTCCACCTTCGAATCGAAATGGTCTCTGTTATCATTGAAAATAGTCGAGATTTGTTGGAAAACTTGAACAAAAGAAAAGAACACCTCGGCGATGTACATCAGCTCCACCTTAGGAATCGAAATGGTCTCTGTTATCATTGAAAATAGTCGAGAATTGTTGGAAAGCGTGTACCAAAGGAAGAAACACCTCGGCGATGTACATCAGCTCCACCTTAGAAATCGAAATGGTCTCGGTTATCATTGAAAATAGTCGAGAATTGTTGGAAAACGTGTACAAAAGAAAAAAACACCTCGGCGATGTACATCAGCTCCACCTTCGAATCGAAATAGTCTCTGTTATCATTGAAAATACTCACGGAGCTAGGCCGGGTGCAGGAACACCTCGGCGATGTACATCAGCTCCACCTTAGAAATCGAAATGGTCTCTGTTATCATTGAAAATAGTCGAGAATTGTTGGAAAACGTGTACAAAAGAAAAAAACACCTCGGCGATGTACATCAGCTCCACCTTAGAAATCGAAATTGTCTCCGTTATCATTGAAAATAGTCGAGAATTGTTGGAAAACGTGTACAAAACAAAAAAAACACCTCGGCGATGTACATCAGCTCCACCTTCGAATCGAAATAGTCTCTGTTATCATTGAAAATACTCACGGAGCTAGGCGTGGTGCAGGAACACCTCGGCGATGTACATCAGCTCCACCTTAGGAATCGAAATGGTCTCTGTTATCATTGAAAATAGTCGAGAATTGTTGGAAAACGTGTACAAAAGAAAAAAACACCTCGGCGATGTACATCAGCTCCACCTTCGAATCGAAATAGTCTCTGTTATCATTGAAAATACTCACGGAGCTAGGCGTGGTGCAGGAACACCTCGGCGATGTACATCAGCTCCACCTTAGGAATCGAAATGGTCTCTGTTATCATTGAAAATAGTCGGGAATTGTTGGAAAACGTGTACAAAAGAAAAAAACACCTCGGCGATGTACATCAGCTCCACCTTCGAATCGGAATAGTCTCTGTTATCATTGAAAATACTCACGGAGCTAGGTGCAGAAACACCTCGGCGATGTACATCAGCTCCACCTTAGAAATCGAAATGGTCTCTGTTATCATTGAAATTAGTCGAGATTTGTTGGAGAACTTGTAAAAAAGAAAAAAACACCTCGGCGATGTACATCAGCTCCACCTTCGAATCGGAATAGTCTCTGTTATCATTGAAAATACTCACGGAGCTATCTCAATAGAATGAAATAAATATTATTATTATTGTTGTATATTACCTGGCTGTTGGTATCCTCTGAATCGGCGCCGTTCAACTTGATGCACTCGACCAACTGCGGGATGGTTTCTGACAGCTCGTAGGTGTCTTGCGTGAGAGTTTCTCTCGTGACGGCGTTGGTGTTGTGGGGGTGACTGGCTTGGGCGGCCATCATTCCTGCCCAATGAAAAGTCATCATATTTCAAGGTATAACCTTCACTATCATGGTTCAAATATCATTGTTTTTCTATGCACTACTTGCAATGGAACAAGTCGGTACCACAACTGTTGACGTTTCAAATAAAATTCATTTCGACATGAAAGTCAGGATTATCACATCGAAGTTTGAGAGTGAATAATGATCTCCTCATTATGATTTATTTAAAACTAATGATATCACTCATTTTGTGAACTCTCAATGTGAACTATGGAAATAAAATTCAAAAGTAATTTTGAAACTAGACAGTTATGATTCCCTAGGCTCCTAGGTATTGTCGACAGGAACTAAAGTTTCCTAACCAAAAGTAAAATTGATTCGTAGGAAATAATTGAAGTGAAAATTACCAATATCTCACGCCAAATATGACAAGTAATTTACTTAATTATTAGGTGATGAATAAAGAAGCAACAACGTAGTAGAAACTTTACTAGTTACTACATGATGAAATGATTTAAAGTTGCGAAAACTTAATTATGAGCGATTATGAGAAGTAGTGCTTTCAGAATAATCATTTAGTTAAAAACCATCCAAGTTCCACACCTTGTAGTCAATACCCAGAGTAAAAACTACGTGATTCATAATCAAGAAAATATTTATGAATGAAGGTAATAATTTCTTAACCCTGTGACTAAAAATACTAATTTGGTTAGTATTTCAAAATAATGAAATAATAACATAATTGTCATAACTGTGTTTTTTTGTCAATTGTAATTTCGTGAGTATAATTATATTATGTTATTATTATTATTATTATTATACTCACCCTGGGTCGCCGACGAAACGGCCTTTTTCGCGCACACGTTCACCCTGTCCACCAGCTTGGCCCTCAGCGCAGGCGTTGTGGCCGCCACCACCGTAACATCTCTCAAATCCTCCGCCGTCCTGCGCAGCCGGTCCTGGCAGCCGACGTCGTGCGGACGGCTGGCGCAGTTGCGCGCCGCCTCCACCATCTTGGCGGTGGCGTCGGCCAGGGTCTTCGCGGCGGCCAATAGGCGGCGCTGCACCTGCGAAAGGTAATAGATAGTTGAAGTACTCACCGTACGTAGAGTTCCTAAATGTACTTGAAACTGATGTTTCGACGTTTTTTGTATATCAGAGTACCGACACTAGACAAGCAGTGACAATCAAACATAACCACAAACGATTTTGAAGCAGATCATATGTTTCTCAAGACAAGGACAAGAATATGTTTTTCGCTTAGATGAAGGATCCTTGCATCTTCCTTCCTCCAAGAGCACATTCATATATCTTTCTCTGTCTTTGATTTTTGTATGAGAGTGCATAGCGTCTCCTCGAATGGGCAAAAGGATACGATTAATTGATTAAAAAATCATTTCTTCTCGAAATATTGAATGGTAAGGCTGAAGGACCTCAATGGAGGTTGATATCAAGACGTACATATAATATATCACCGAAATACACATAGTATTCCTATGAAATAAGTCTCTTATATGTAGGTGTATATTTATACGTTCAGTTGAATATTTGTTCATCACAAGAGTTCAGAATGGGGTAAAACTGATAAATTTCAAGGAACATACTTTTATTTCGTATGAAACAATTTCACTTGTACAAGAGTTGTAGGTGATAAGTAATTATGGACTTCAGCGCTATAGATCGCCGTTCACATTGCTTAAGGGGATTGTTGGTTTGAACCCGGCCATCGGAAGATCATTTACAATACCTAACATAAATGGTGTACTCGTTAAGCGTTCTTGTTCTGTGCTCTGATAATATCTTGCTCGTATCTTGGTACCCAAGAAGTGGTTCAAAATCCTCTAGGAGTTAATGATTTATTTTCCTTAGATATTTCTTGTGCGAACAATGCATCACATTCTATGGACCTCTGTGGAATCGCTGACAACTAGACGATTCAAGAGGATATCTCGGATAAAACGCCGTATTCAACTCGGCATAAATGACAAAAAATAGAACAACCTTCAAAACATAATGATACATCCATAACAACATAATCATCAGAAATTCACTACTAATAACCATAAAGTTATTGTTAAAGTACACAACAAAATAAAAACTTGGATTATTCAAAGATAGACGTTGGCGGCACTACTAATTTTCTTAGAAGACGAGCAATAATCGTGGTAAAAAATGTAATTTGTTGTGTTTGTTGTTATTAATGATTTTCCTCTTGTTGTGTGATCAATTTTCGATGTTTTATTTACTCATCAAATCTGTAGAGAAAAGTAAGTTACAAGTATTTTATTTCGATATTTCATAGGTATGTAGAAATATTGCCAAGTGGCGTTTTGTGTGATGGCTTGCTCTGTTGATGAAAAGCATTTTCGAAATATTGAAAAGATTGAATAACCTCACTGAGCCGTAGCAACATTACTTATTATGTCACAACACGCGAGAGTTAATTTATTAATGCTTACACACACATTCTTAATTAATTAGTAGTATAAAATATATCTATGAAGAATATCGATGGAGAAGACCACTGATGGACAAAAATCCATTCAAACCATTTTCAATCAATGAATCATGATAAACATTTAATGTACATATAATCAATATCATAAGTTGAAGTTGAAGGACATCGAATCTACAGCATTTTGAAATCAGCATATTCCATTTAGTTATTTCAAAAAGACAGATATGAACAGGAGCAGTGAAGTATTAGTCTCGAACTGAATCATCTCTCACTCTGATTGCCATTCTGCATTATTTTTTTTATCGTCCTAGCATGAATGAGAAAATTCAACATTATATTTACTGGTAGTATTTTGGTTTAGAGCCTAGGATGATATCGTTTTGAAAAAATCTGTAGTCTCCTCAATGCTCTGGCAATGATTCTGCAGAGTTATCCCCACCATTCGTGATTTCATCTATTCAACCTTGTTTGGATTGTTGGCGGATACTTTCTCATGATTTATGAATGAATCGCGGTGTCTTTCGTTTTTTAGTCTCGAGATTTTTATCATACCTCCGAGTCGGGCAGCTTCTCCGCCTCGCCCTTGATGCTCTGGATGAGTTGGGCGGTCGCCTGGCCCAAACGTCTCGCCTGGCGCACCATCTCGTTGGCATCGCCAGAGGCGGCCGACAGCTTGTCGGTGGCCGTGTAGATCTCCTCGACGCTGTGCTCTTGGACGGTTTCTCTCGCGCGTTCGCGGGATGCTGGACAAACGGATATAAAAGCCTTGATCATTTAAACTAACAAGATGTACCACCCCCTGCTGAATAGAATTTCTGGCTCCATCGCTCTAAGGATGGTTTATATTTGTAAATAATCAAGGATATAAGGCATTGTAATCTCAGATGTGATAAGTAATGATTATGGCTGATTAAAATACAAGTGATTATTCATTATCCATGGACCGCTATAACAAAAACATTAGAACGTGAAAGTATGTTTGCCTACAGTCGTCCATGTTGATCGAGATAGTTTAACAGCATATGGGATAGTTCAATTGAAGACTTCGAGGATGGTGATAAGAAACGTTGATGTCATTTGTCAGAGCGATAAAAGTCGTACGAATTTTCCAGAGATATTGGAATATCTGCAAACAATTTTTGCGACGCGAGCATCTGAAGAAAATATAAATATTACCGTTGTTCTCATACAATTTTGATTGGTTACAGTGTCCCAAAGGTCGGACCATTGACGTTTTAATTGAAAATCTAGTAGGAGAGAGGTAAAATATTGTCTTGATCATTAGAAAAAAAGCAATAACTACTGCTTGCACTTTATTGAAATGATGGTATGTAAACTGAGAATAGAAAGAAAGGAACTGCTTATCTACCTTTATATTTTTGATAACTTTACCATCTTATAGGTAGTTTGTCAACGAAGAAGCGAAAAAAACGTGATAAGTAGAAAAAAATCAAGTTTCACACACACACATCATAAAAAGAAAATATCATATATCTCGCCTATTAGGTTTACATTCGCTTCTGACCCAATGAGGCCTTAGACGTTTTGATTGCCCATCACGAGAGGTTGAAGTTGACGAAAATGTCAAGTTACATTCCTTCTTTCGTTTCATTCCACAACTTCTTGTGATGTTTGTATTGTATTGTTTGAAATATGTCTAGTTCTCACCTAGTTTCATGTGGTTCAGCAAGTCGTTGAGTGTTCTTGTCACGTCTGAAGCAGCATTTTTGAGTTGATTGTTGAGATCTTCGTTGGTGCAGGTTTCATTACACACCAACACCAAGTTCTCGACTGCTTTGGCCACCTGGAAAATAAACAAAACCGATTGATTGACTTCATCACCACGAGTTGTGTTTTAATGATTGATTGATTGTCTGTCTACATTACCCCAAGAACCATTATCAATTATAATAGGGATATATACAACAAAACATACATATAACATGATCAATCGTAACAATAATAATTGCACAATTATTGTTTTTCATAAAAAAAGCAAAGGTTTAGTTGCTATGGTAACGATACAAAATACACGCTTTTATGGGTTCGAAAATGTTAGGTAGGTGTGAAATTTTCTTTCAAAATTTCTCTCAACCCCCACCACCATCTCTAGTTTATTTAAAGCCACCCACCTCTCTGATGGCGGTCGTCAGCTGTTCCTGGCACGCAGCCGAATGCAGCGTGGGCGCCACCACGCGGGCGCAGGCCACCAGCTGCGAGGTTGCCAGCGCGCACTGTGTGGCCGCGCCAATCACCCTGTTTTGAGTCTGCTGGTCCTCGCAAGTCGACGCGACGTTCTTCGCTCTGAGAAAAAAAAATCAATAATATTAATAACTACCCAGTTGACCAAAACATGCAGCAACTTTATCACTGCTGCATTTCAAATGTGCCATGTTTTATCGCAGAGATGTTCCCATCATAGATATAGCAAAGATGAATGTCCGCCTCAGATGAAATCACAGACTTATATCAATGGAATTTCAATTGTTGAAATCGAAAAATCAGTGAATATACCATTTCATCAGAAAACTATTAAAAAAGGAATAATCAAATTACTTCATGATCGAGCCAAATCAATATCATCTAACCTATTTCAATAACGAAATCCAACACGTTAAAGATGTTCTTCAACTCAACTCATATCCAAAGCACTCCATTGATAGAACTATTCACAAAATTGTAAACAAACAAAATACACCACAACAAAAACAACCATCAATAACGATGAATATAATACGGTACATTTCCTGCATTTCTGAAAAAATAAAACATGTTGGTGATAAGTTCCAAGTGGAAACTGTGTTCAAAACTGAAAATACAATGAGATCCATTCGAACTCAAACAATGCCAAAAAATGAAGAACTCATCAGAAGATTGTATTTATAGTATACCTTGTGTTAGTGGAGAGTATTATACAAGTGAAACGAAAAGACCTCTCTCAGTAAGGACTAAAGAACACAAGTACAATATCAAGAAAAGACATATCGATAAATCGAAGCTAACTGAACATATCCTTACTGAAGATGGACAACATATTGCAGAGTGGAATAATATCAAAATCATAGGAAAGGAAGATAACAACCAAAAAAGAAAAATCAAGGAATCCGCTTGCATTCTTCTGAACGGAGACAATAGCATTGCTTCCTGTTCAGTTGATATAGATAGAACATGGTATTCACTCCTGAAAACTGAACATGAAAATGGTAGATTCAAGATCAATCAATGAAAACATCCTGTAGACTAAAATCACTTATTCATATGCCAACATCAGTATGACACTGAGAAGTGTCGAACTATTAGCAGAGCTCAACTTCCAAAGAAAAATATTTTGCATTTTCATGTAGAGAACGGGAGCAGATTCGTTCCCGAAACGTCCAAAGATAAGTTAAAATTCGATATTTTTTCAATATATCAATATTTCTTTCCTTCAAACATTTTTTCAAACAAAGTGTCACTGACAAGCTACTGGATTTTTCTTTTAGGCTCCCAGATAGAAAATTTTGTTAAACGCAGTGACATTTTGGGTCAAATCATCTGATTTGTTCCACTACAAATATATTGAAATAATAGGCATATTTTTATTTTATAGAAACGAGAAAATAAAAAAAAAGTAAAATGAAAATACCACCTCCACGATTAACCTACAGACAGTACATCTTATGCCATTTAATAATTGTTTTCTAACTTGATATTGTCTCCAACCTGTATTAAGTATTCTGTACTATAAGTGCTGTTAGCTCGATATTTCATGTATCTGTTGACTATAATTATGTTAAATTTTCTTTTTTCATTTTAGTATTATTTTCAACGGTTTTTAAATATCTGTCTTGTGTAACCATAACTCTGATATTGCTGTCGATAACCTAGTATTTATATTGTGAATTATATACATAGAAAGATGTTTGTATATTAGGCTTTCCTATTTTTAATACACTACTACTAGAAAAAACTAGAAAATATAAGGACGGCCGGACAACTACCGTCAGTAAGTCAAGCAGCGGGTGTCAGAGAGACAGTCATATACCGCGTGATATAAATCGTTTTATTTCTGACAGTGACATTATAAGCTTATATCGTCATAGTTACGATATCTATTATGAGGGTCATAACTCCCTTGGGATGTTATAGATGCTATAATTCCCTCTAGCTAAAATTAAATAAGAAATGCATAGCAACAACCACGCAATAACGTAGCAATAAGGAATCTCCTATTCGCGGTAGTCAAGATCATCATCTGACGTTCTGATGACATTGAAACTATATGGAAAAACATGTCTAACTTCCAATCGGAAAGGTATCTAATGAATGAAATCAGTCAGAAATAAAAATATCTATGTATCACGGGAATTACTGAGCCTCAATAACCTCAGGCAATTGCCATCAAACTTTGCCATCGGTAATTAAGGCCGTCATAATTCCCTTAATACATAAATAACTATTATATAGATAGTAGTTATAAGTTCGATATGAGTTAGTGTTCCTTTAGTTAAAATATATTAGTTCGAAAATAAATAGTGTCGTGTTCGCTTCTGCACCCGAATAACGTAACAATAAAATGTTTACCCTCCAACGACCTGTCAAATGACGTAACATTATATCATAATTCAGGCCACAACCCTACCTGAGCACGAGGGCGGCCGTGGTGTTGGCCACCGCCTTGGCCAGCGACAAGAGCAGGTCCTGCAGCTCCTTGTTCTCGACGGTGTCTTCGCCGATGCTCGCCAGGACCTCGGTGCTAGCCTCGCCTACGCGGGACGCCGCGTTCAGCAGGCTCTGCCTGGGCTAGAAGTGGTGAAAAAATGATCCATAATTGGATTTTGAAGATTTTCTAAATTGGACCCACTTATGCAACATGGAACCAACCAGGTATTTTATTGTTTCGAGGAAATGAAGGATTATTCGACATGAAATAACGGAACACAATTTGGATATTCATAGATGAAAGGAGTAATCTATTGAAGAAAAAATCGTCAACATTTTCTGACACGAGAGCTTTTTTTTTGTCGAAGTGAACTTGACATGTATCAATAAGAATTTAGTTGCCTGCCAATTTGACGAAAACAACTGCCTGTGAAAAAATTACGAGTCCGTAAGCAGTTTTTTTGAGTTGAACAAAATTCGAATTATAAATGCCAAGTTCGACTAAAAGAAGCTGGAGTGTAAGTCGGTAATACTATTTAATTCATCAAACATTTGTTTATGGCTCGTTTTCAAAAGATAGGTTCCGTTATTGTCACTGGGAAAGTTAGGGCAAACTTTTTACGCTGTCATAATGACAAAATCACGCGGCTTGTGGAATTTTTCATACATGAATAAAATTGTCAATGAAAAACAAAACCTCATCAGGTAACAGTGCTCAATCTCAATTACCGCTTTACATAAACAACAATACAATTATTCTGACAAACAGATGTAACAGTGGTTCCAGAATCCTAGTGCTGGATGGAAACTAATAGGGAATTAAATTGGAATGAACTGTTGGAGTGTTTCTGCACTCAATGTTTCCTTCTCACTGGCATATGTTAAACAGAGATGAATATACACTTTGTAGAGAAACACCCCACCAGTTCCTGCCAATGGAATTCGCTATAAGATGACCAATCCGGTTCGAACATATCGTTCTCTATTTTGATTGTGCTGACAGATCTACAATTTTCCTTCTGCATGTTCGCCTAATATTACTAAAATCTTAAGAAACATAATAATATCTTTGATTTTGATCGCATATTCAACATCTCCAAAATTGCTATCGCTTGGTAGCAAACTATGGCCAAAAGACCAGAAACTTCAACCTGACACTTTTCAAATGTAGCGACTCCTCTAGATTGAATTTCATCAAGAGCATCATTTCAATGTCACTCTAATGAATTAAGTTTTTTACAATCTTAGGATATATTATCATTACTCAAACAAGAGCCCACGTCTTGCCCCACGTCATACAATTTGTTTTCAATCCTTCGGGAGAGTACTTGTTTGAACATTTTATGATCAGAGAAAAAGTCTGCCAAAGGAACTGAATACATACACTGGTGTTCAATTCGTAAAATGGAACCAAGTAACTTTGGATCCTCAATTTTTTGAAAAATACATCACGAGTTCCTTGGAAAAAGAACCAAGTAGCTTTGGATCCTCACTGTGAACTTCAATTTGAATATTTTCAATTAAGCAAGATAGTTTTATCATCTTCCTGACGGCGCTAGATCTCCAAATTGTTGAATTTTTGTTGTGAAATGAGATGAATGAGATGCTCAATTAGTATCTCATAATGGTAATATTTAGTTCTTTCGGAAAGCTGACTTTGAGCGCCGATATCTCGAAAACCATCTGTCCTATCGGGCTGATCGTAGTCTTATTCGATTCAACGTGTCATTTTCTACTGGAAAAGCGATGATTCGCGTGAATTTTTGCCGTTTTCTGGCACTTTCTGCCGTTCGAAGATAGCTCGGTGACTATATCGCACTGAAGTACTGAAGTCTCAGGTGGGAAAATAAAAGTTTGTATTTGGCCTATTAAGAATCTGAAAAAATTCACATAGACTAATTCGATGTCGAAATGAACGAATCTGTGGTGAAAATTAGTAAATTTTGGAAAATAGAGACGTAGTAGCCTACCGGAGTGCAAATATTGGCAATAAAAGCGGAAAGCTGACTTTGAGCGCCAATGTCTCGAAAACTATCTGTCCTATCGGGCTGATCTTAGTCTCATTGGGTTCAGCGTGTCATTTTCTACTGGAAAGCGATAATTCGCGTGAATTTTTGCCGTTTTCTGGCAGTATCTGCCGTTCGAAGATAGCTCGGTGACTATGTCGTACTGAAGTATCAGGTGGGAAAACTAAAAATTTTATTTGGCCTATTAAAAATCTGAAAAAATTCACATAGACCAATTTGATGTCAAAATGAACGAATCTGTGGTAAAAATTAGGAAATTTTTGGAAATGGAGACGTAGTAGCCTACCGGAGTTCACCTATTGACAATAAAAGCGGAAAGCTGACTTTGAGCGCCGATATCACGAAAACTATTTGTCCCATCGGGTTGATCATAGTCTCATTCGATTCAGCGTGTCATTTTCTACTGGAAAAGCGGTAATTCGCGTGAATTTCCGCCGTTTTCCTGCACTTTCGGCCGTCCGAAGATAGCTCGATGACTATATCGTACTGAAGTCTCTGGTGGGAAACTAAAAAATTTTATTTATCCTATTAAAAATCTGGAAAAATGCACATGGACTAATTCGATGTCGAAATGAACGAATCTGTGGTGAAAATCAGGAAATTTTGGGAAATGGGAACGTAGTAGCCTACCGGAGTGCAAATATTGGCAATAAAAGCGGAAAGCTGACTTTGAGCGCCGATATCTCAAAGACTATCTTTCATAAATATTCGGTTGGTTCCTTGTTGCATAAAGGGGTCCAATTATCAAACAATCTAATATCTCGTAAGCGGTTGAATATTTTGGAAGCTGAATTTTGGAGAATACGATTTTGAAAAACACACAAATGGTTATTTTACCTCTTTGGATTCTGGTTCGGCAGCCTTCAACAAGTCACTGAAAGCAGTGCACAGTTTCCTGGTAGCGTCCAGCAATTTCTCACCCATGCTACCATCATCCATGAGGGCGGCTATCATTCTGACGTCTTTTGTCATCTCGGGAAGGTTACTGCCAATCGTGGTGATGGCAGCACCCACAGCACTATGATCAACCTAAAAATAAAATACATACGAGTTGGGTAACTGTCATATTCTTGTACTCACATTGAACTCTTCAATAGTGACGTACGATTTCTAAGAGCGACCAGAAATTGTTTTTAATTTAGGAGCAATCGCTAAACGTGTTCTGTGGTGCTACCCTATAGGTCAGGGCATTTAGTTCTATACTTGCATTATGAATAAATGCGAGCTAGTGGTGAAAGATCATTGTTTTAGAAGTAGTGAACCGTCATCACCTTTTCGAAAGTTCTTATAAAACATTGTCAACAATCATCAAATGGGCTAGTGGAATATTTTTCTTGTGAACAGAATCATCACTCATTACCTTTCAACTCTATATTTGTTTAGATTTTTCAGTCGATGCTAAAATCATCAATATTGTCACAGCAAATTTCAGAAAGCTAGACATTTTCCGCAAATAAAAAGTGGAGTCACGATTTCGTCAGTAGATTGATTGATTGAAGACATGGGTGACTAACAGTTTGAGACATCAATGAAAAATATAATATATCATTTGAATTACCTCATCTTGTGGTCCTGATGTTAGAGTGACAACTTGGGCTGTCGCCGCATTCATGGCAGCGATTTGCGAGCCGACGTTCTGTTTGCGCGTGTCCAAAGTCACTTGTTTCCATTTCATCGAGCCCGGATCCGTGCCCAGTTCGGGAATGTGCGCTTTTCCTTCCAGCTCGATTTCGGATTCTTTTATTCGCGTTTGGGTGGCCGATATCGTCGATATCAAGGCACGCTGGGGCTCGGTGAGGACTGTGGTGATTTTCGTTTGCTGAACGGTGGTCGACTAAAATAAATTTTACGGTCGAAATACAGTCGGTAGGAAAGTGGGGTTTCACAGGTTGATTCATGTTTTTCTGAAATATTTGAGCGGTTGATGGATTATCGAAATATATTAGGAATACGCCCAATAGGGCTAGTAAAATAAGGAGACAGAGTGAAATCTATAAAAAAAAGTTACATTTCAACAGTCTTTCAATCATCCTTATCCATATATTTCAATAATTCCTTCGAAAAAATACGATTAACAAGACATGTTTATTTTTCCTGTGTCTTAGAGGGCGTACTGACGGAACATACTGTAGCAAAAACTTTCTATCAAACACTTCTAAGAATCCAAGTTATCTTGTTGGGGTTCAGAATCAGATGATTCATTTATTTATTTCAGTTATTGCATTAACTTTTCTTCAATAATACATTTTATAAAAATTATATATAAAGTATAATAGATTTTCTAGTAGGAATGACATGATAGATCATACTTTAATTCCTGGTGTAAGACCATTCAAGTATTATCGACGGTTGGTATAATTGAAATTACAAATAGTTAACAAAACTTTGGAATCATTCATAGTGAACAAGAAAGGAGTCAATTCTGTCAGCTTTTATCATTCCTTTGCATCACTTTATTTTTGAATTGTATAATATTTGATATCTTCGTATTCAATGTTTTTTCTATAACACAAATTATATAATCATTATATCAAGTACCTATCAAAAATTTCAGTTTTTTTTTAATTGCCAGATAATGCCCTATAGCTTTTCAGTAAACTCAATTTTGAAGGAATAGAAACCAATATCATTTTTTTTTTTAGAAAATGAAACTAGAATCAACCTGTATTATTTACAAATATTCAGAGCATTCTGTTAGATACTATCGAAAAAATATGGCCAACTGATGTAAAGGCCATTTTAAAAATAGTGTTAGGGAATTTATAGCTAAGTGCGGAGTTATATACAGAGGAAAAAAATATCTATCTGTACCTACTCTCTTCCCTGTCCAAGAAAAGACATGAAAAAAATAAAAGAAAAATATTCACGGCTCAATAAGAAAAAGGATGATTAGTTATTGCAGAATTAGCACAAGCATTGTTGATTTTTTTGACTCAGTTAGTATATCAACCCTGGAAAAATCCGTGCCTTAAATTTTCCTGTGTTATTAGAAGATGAAGATAAAAAAATCGTTATCTTACCGTTGGTGGGGCATGGCCCAAATGTACAGCACCACTAACAGTGGTTTGTTGGGGACCACTCATTATACCCATACTGAACGGTTTTTCACCTAAATTATAGAAAACAAAAAGAAAACAAAAATAAAAAAAATGAGATAATTTTGGATTTTTTTGGTGGTGATGAAATATGAATCCAATAACAGAAGAATCTGACGAAATCGATGCCAATATTTTTGTAACTCACCGTCAGCTACTCTCATCACTACTGGTTTTGACAAGGAGTCAGTGCTCATTCTGCCAATTTTGTTGGATTCGTGCTGTAAAATAGTAGCCCTGAAAATAAAATGCATTCTTTTCATGCAAAAAATACTGAAATACTTCAAAAATAATACTCAATATCCAAAAAATTATAGACCAATTGCCTGATGGGGCATTTTTCCAAAATTGTTGGAAAATGCATAGTAGATTTCATAATAAAATATATAATGTATTTCAAGAATATAGGGGCACACAAGTGACGATATTACAAGTAATACCATGAAGGACTTGGTACAGAAAATTACGTGATAGCAATTTCATCAATCTCAAAAAGGCCTCAGATATAGTTGATGGATTACGTCCTTGTTTGTTACATGGAAATTCAATTGCTCTAGTTTGTAAATAGAAATTATTTCAATCATTTCAATGGGCGAACACATAAAGCTAATCAGTGTAAAACTGATTTGATGAAAATTTATCAAGAAGCTTCGCCATTCTCAACTATTCGGTCTTGATCGAAAGTATTACAATAAAGGAACAAGCACATTCTGCGCAGAACATCAATAAACTCGAAACTGAATAGAAAGAAAAATGACATGTTCAGTATGAATGCTAGCGAATCATGCCGTAGAATCTTCAAGGTAAATAATATGCTCACTGTTCCTGTATCAGGTCCTTTTTGAATTGCTTGCATTACTTGTATTGTTGCTTGTGTGCCATCATTTTCTTGAAAACCAAATTGATTCATGACAAAGCTATATCTTTTATTCATGAAGTGTAGAATACGTTTGTGAACTCTCGACTCTTCATAGACCAGTCGATGGTATGAGGTATTTATCTAATTGTGGAGTTTGTAAAAATGTTATACGTATTTTTTCTTTTTTTGAATCAAATTTCACTACAGAAACAAATTGATGTAAAAGGAACTTGACCACGATTTCTATGACGTTATTTATGAAAAGCCACATTCACACAGAGTTAATATATGTTAATATATTCAGTATGACGTTGTAGGCATCATCAAGGAGTCTAGATATCCGGAAATCGTTCTTTGAATACATCTTCTATGTCGAATATTATGAATAATGTCCATAAATATGTTATTCCCTGGAAGGAGTTGATTACTACACTTTCGTTATATCACAAAATGATAATCTTAACTTGTCAGTATTTTTTTTCAAAAGAATTTGTTCCTTTATAAAACAAATCTATTGTTTAGGAAAGTTACAGATTATATCTTGGAACAACGCATAATAGATAGTTGGAGACCGTCCACACCACACAAAATACTGACAGGCACACCAAGAGCTGATCTGATTTTGTGGTTATGTGTGTTTTTGTTTACCAGTTTCACTTCTGTCTTTTTCTTCTTCTATTTTTTTTATTCGTTTCTTATTCCTTAGCTGTGCGCTAGCTATATTCTTTATCATTAGCTATATTCTGACTAGATTCAGAATGTACGCAGTTTGTCGCCCCGAAAATTAAAAATTGCTTCATTTTGAAAATAAAAACAACTTGCACTTTATCGATCGCTATTAAAACTGAGGAGTTCCGAACTTATTTTTTGAAAATTCATCTGAAGGAAACTAAAATCAATAAATTCTATTTATATTTCTAATTACTTGTGGGGAGCGACGCTTTCCTCGAACATCGTGGACCCCTCGTCTCCCTCGATCCCGAAATGGTCCTTCGACTGCTTCTTCTTCGTGATGATGTCGATGTACCCGGCGATGATCTGTCTGATCTGCTCGGCCTCGGTGGTCTGCACCGAATAGTACTGGGTGGCGTAGTCGCCGAAGTCCAGAGTGAAGGTGTTCGGACTGGCGCCCCATCTTCTCACCTGAACAATTAATTGACAAAATAACGATAATTTAAGAGTCATTCTAACAGCCTTCGAAATTATTTAAAGCTTTTCATTTATATCGTTGATTATTTGCACCAGTGGTTCTCAAACTTATTTTGACCACCGCCGTTACCATCGAGACAATAAGGCCTGCATGCTCTGTGGTGACGTCACCTTAGTGAGGCCTAACAGCGGCTCGAAACGACAAGCGCTCATGGCGCTCTAAGGCGACCGCGTATTTCAATTTTAGTTTTAGATCATTATTAAGCCGATTTTGCTGTTTTTTTGAAGGGCTTCCGGTTAAAAAAGGATGCCAGTCGTCAACTGAGCCCTTCTTCGCATCCCATTCGATTTTTTTATGGAAAAACGAAGTTTCAAAGCAAAAAACAGAATAAAACACAAATACCCACCTACAGCAACCCATTCGAATAAAATACATGGCCCGCAGAACATAAACCTATCGTGAGATTTATCAAAAGAAAAATGTGGAAAATGTATTTTATTTTGATAGACATTCCGATTGTTATAATTACCTATATTCATCTTGGAGAATTCCTATTACCTAAAAAATTAGCCAGTGAGTGTTTTCAATTTCCTGTTGTTGGATTTTTTACCCAATTGATCGTTAGATTTGACAGTAATTTTTAAGGGTAAAAGTGCATTTATCATGCGATGGTTTTTTTTTTTCGATCAAAATCGAGATGTCAAATGTCAATAGATTGCTTTGGAATGACATTACACACGCCATTATTTTAAATCTATTCTTCCTTCTTTTCACTAAATATGGATAAATCTCAAGAAAATAATATTTATAGTTGAAGCATATAATAAAAACAAATGTGTCATACATTGTTAAATATATAGATTGTCCAATATGATGAAAAAAAAAAAGGGTTAATATGATAGTTGCAATTTGATCATTGGAATGAATTCTGCATCCATTGCCACGAGTCAGATGACCGTTTTCAGAAAGAAATTTGAGAATGCATTGATTTAAAAATACCCGTTTATTATGAACATTCAAGAATCGAATTCAGAGATGATTTTGTTGAATATAATATACGAATACAAAACTAACTGCACAATCAAAGCTTTTCTCTTTTTCCTCTACTCATACTTTTTATGAGAGAGTAATTGTCTTCTATTATTAATTCATCATTATAAATTAAGCTCTGTTTACTACTGTACTTAGATGGAGTAAAATCCTCGCGGTGAATTGCATATACCCACTTTTTCGATAGTTCCTTGTCCAACGGGAAACTAAAAGCATGAACTTTTGGAACACCCACATAATTCCTCCGACAAAAGGGAACACAACACTTGAAAGGCATTGTTATTTCGCCTATCACAACACACAATATTTTACAAAACAGTAATTTTTACGCCAATTATTTTGATGAATAAACAACAAAAGAATTCGGGACCGTTTCAAAAATATACGTGAATCACCGATGAATTAACACGAACTGACGCGTTAGTCGACAAGCCATAAAACACTGGCCTCTCTTAGGTGACGTCACGAGCTGTTTACGTCAGAGTCTGCTGGCCTTCTAATCTCGATGGCAACGCCACCGCCCACTTAAAGGATAAACATTGGTGTAGCGCCCTCAAAACTTTTTAATCATAAAGATAAATTATGTACCCTCTCTGAGATGGGACCAACTTGGAGAACTGCCGCACAAAAACATCCGTCAAGTTCGTCCAGTGGTCCCCGAGAAATTCGCGAACATACATAAAAAAGGTCCACTACAAACATAGACCCTCCTTATTTTTAATTCGGTTAGTGAAGAGATACGAGTTTAGGACATTAAGATGACGATATCTTATTTCAGAGCTCAAATATGAATTGTTGTAATCTGTCATCCGGTTGCCCCTAAGTAGTCTTCGAGAGATTTTTGCGAGCAAAGATTGACGGTGGCATAACCTTTTGAAACACTTTCTTAGGCCATAAGACAAATTCTGCAGTCGTGGGAATCGTACCCACCAACCGGCAATCCGTCGTGAATAGAATACTGACGATTCAACCACGTGGTTAACCTGGCCTATTAAACTTGAAATTGTTCTATCCGTCATTCGGTTGCCCCCTTACAAGCAACCCTCAGAAGTCTTCGAGAGTCTTGTGCGAGCAAGGAATGACGGGGGCCTTACCTTTTAACGTGTGATCCCAAACACTTTTTTGGGCCATCAGAAAAATTTCTGCAGTCGACGGGACTCGAACCCACGACCGGCAAGCGAATGCGGATTAGAATATGGACACTCTGTCCGCACGGCTACCTGGCCTGGCCTTACTTAATCACATTTGAAAATATTGGTATTGATATGTTAGGAAAGCTTTGAATATAACACTTAATTCTTATAACTAATGTGAGGAATGAATCTGACGCACTTTAACGAGTTTAGCAATATTGGGCTTAAAGTCACTTAAAAACAGGGGCAAGTCTCCGCAAGTCTTAGTCCTTGGTTGGTTTGTAGGCGGTGCTAGCAAAACTCAGCAATAGTTATTTATTATACAAGGAAAAAATTAGAAGATTTTAGCTCGAGGTTGTGTTGTCTCCCGACGCGTATAGCAGAGACAAAAACTTATGTGCAAAAATCTAATATTTTACCTGTGTATAATACACTATTTTTTCTGTGACAGGAAAAAGGGCGGATCATAAAATTGAGAAGATATTACATTATATTAAAATCATTAAATTATGGATGTGAAATTTGAGGTTTTCAATAGGAATTACACCTGCGTTGCAGGCATCTTTTTGCAGTGCTATGGCTAGTCAGGTTAGGTTACATACATAACGGGTGATTGACTATGGATTTCTCGACTTCAACAGCTGATATCTCGAAAACGAAAAAAGATATTTGAAATTTGGAAAAAGGTACTTGAATGAGATGTCATTTCCTTCTAGAAAATGTATTCTCTGCTTGATTTTATCATCTCATATACAGGGTTCGTGAAAAAAATTTTTTTTTTCAAATGGAACCCCCTGTATATTATCGCATATTTCGAAAGAGCTATCTTTCCTGATTTCGAAGATATATACTTTTCATATATTCTATCGAGTGCTTGACGAAATATCAGCAAAATTAAATATTAATATTAGGTCCAAGTTAGCTATGGTTGAAATAGAATGAGATGATGAATAAGTGAATTGACATTTGGCCAACATTCCAGTGACATAAGTGCGCAAAATTTCGACAATTTTTTCACGATGCCGTATCCACTGGAACAAAGAAGAGATATTTTGGAGTGCTTTTTCTCAGTTAATAAAAATCTTGCTGAAACACTTACACTTATACTTACTTATATTAAATCTTTCAGATATGACAAGACAAAATTCAATCCGCTTCTCATTATCATCATAATTGAGTTTGTAGCATGGTCTAATTCTGAAATCCCTATATTTATATTTCCTTAAGGTATGTTGAACAAAATAATAGCTGAAACCAAACTCTCTCACTGCATTCCTTATTGACCGTGAAGGATCCTCAACAAAATACTGGATTACAAGAAGTTCCTCGTCTTCGTTGTCGTGCCTTCTCACTATTCTCTTGATATTCGACAAACTGGAAGTTCTGTCAAATTTAGCAGCCAAATACTTTACATAATTCTTACTTGGTAATCTCCTGCCTGGATAACTCCTCATATACTTACGAAGTATTTCAGCAAGATTTTTATTAACTGAAAAATAGCACTCCAAAATATCTCTTCTTTGTTCCAGTGGATATGGCATCGTGAAAAAATTGTCGAAATTTTGCGCACTTATGTCACTGAAATGTTGACCATATGTCAATTCACTTATTCATCATCTCATTCTATTTCAACCATAGCTAACTTGGACCAAATATTAATATTTAATTTTGCTGATATTTCGTCAAGCACTCGATAGAATATATGAAAAGTATATATTTTCAAAATCAGGAAAGATAGCTCTTTCGAAATATGCGATAATATACAGGGGGTTCCATTTGAAAAAAAAAATTTTTTTCACATACCCTGTATATGAAATGATAAAATCAAGCAGAGAACACATTTTCCAGAAGGAAATGACATCTCATTCAAGTAACTTTTTCCAAATTTCAAATATCTTTTTTCGTTTTCGAGATATCAGCTGTAGAAGTCGAGAAATCCATAGTCAATCACCCTACATTGATGAGATATATTCGCACTTGGAAAAAATCGAATGTACTCACCTGTGTGAGAGGCCATGTCTGCATAATTTCCTTCGTCTTTTCATCCAACCTCAGCACGGATTCTTTCGTGACACCGAGCAACCTGGGCGTCAGCTTGTTCTTGCCCTTCATCTTCTCCTTGACGAGAAAGAAGGACACGCCGTAGGTGCTCAGAGAGCGAGCGCTTTTCGTGTACTTCACTTTGGCGTCCAGCTCGCTCAGACCTTGGTGCTTCTTGTGCTCGGAGAAGATCTTCTTCTCTATGCCCTTGATTTTCGTGTAGGATTGGGGCAAGAACTCCTTCAGACTGAAAAACAGAACATAAGACGTAAAACTTACGAGAATATAAAAGAAAACAAATTGACTTTGTAAACACTATACACATAACAACATATTCTATGAAAGAAACACAATACATAACCAAGGGTATTCCACTGGATTGCACTGACACAGTATAGATGCGTATTTAGCACTGCACTGACTTCGGACATAATTCGTTTAGTTAGGACCAATCTAGAGCAGATGCATGTAGATAAGTCGAATCATTCTGGCACTGTATGGATGAAGTTCCATATTGACATTATGAATATTCTCACTCTAAAGTATTTCTGAAACACTTATATACTTCCTTCTTTATTCATTTATGGGGATAAACACTAGATTACTGACATTTGTTGTTTTTTAGGTTATATTGAGGACATTGGCGTATCATACGTAATTTCCACATGTAATTTCTCATTCAACTATACATATTATATCCAAATGATAATGATAATTTTCGAGTTTTTGATTTTTCAACTCCAGCATAATCTCTGTGAGGCAGTGAGCAAATTTTTCTTAAAGCTTAATACGTTTTACCAAATGGGACTGTTCTTAGGCAGTACCTATCAATAAATGAATTTTGATTTCAGACTAAGTCTTATGGTTGAGAAATGGTGGAAGATGGTATGTATGTATTTGAACTAATGTGCTCATATGTCATATGGGCTGTATATATTCACGAACACTTAATATTTCCTGAATGTAGGTATACTTTTTTAAATGATAGGGCATATGCCTCTTCTTTTAATCCTCCGTTTTAATCAAAACTGTTTCTACTGAAATGCATTCAAAAACTTGTGGAGTGGAAAACTATAGGCACAATGAGAAAGTATAATATGTGATTTTGTATTAGTTTTACCTCGAATATTTTGCTGATGTATTTACCAATTTTCCCAATTCGGTCACTTCACTTTCCATGTTCTAACTTCATTTGCATTAATTTGATGGTAAGCTGACAAATTCAAAGTTGCATCCAATTGAATAATGTCGTTTTAAGATCAAGTAGGAAATTGAAATTTTGTAAGGTCTAAGACAGCAGTGGCATGTCAGGGACGCCAATACACGAAACCAAAGTCACTAGATGATTAAAAGAGAAAGGAGCTAAGATCTCTCCGTACCCTGTTAGATGACAAATACGACAGTTTGCATCAAGGGACCCTACTAGAAACCACATCTTTTTGGGTGCCTCACATATGATGATATATCACTGATTTGTATTCATTTTCCATATATTTATGTGGTTCTGTCAAACAGTTTTAGTATTTCACCGCGAAAAGTCGGACTGACAACGATTTTCTAGCTTCATGACCTTGATAAGCACTTTCTGACAAATCGACCAATGAGATGTGAATACCAACGTGAGAATGCGCCTATAAGGTCCCTGACGCACTAGCTATCTGAAAATATGTTCGTCTCCTACATTTTCATTTGAAACAACAGTGGTTCAGGAAGAAAAAAGAGTGACTCACTCTAAGAATCCGGGCTTGTGCTTAGTATCCACGTGGTCCCCGAACTGGATCTGGCACTGGATCCCCGCAAACTCACACGCCTTCTCCTGCGTGATCGGGTGCGTACAATTCAAAATGGCGTCTCTGGCCTGAACGTACAGCAGGTTCAGCTGCACCGGGTCCCTCGAATCTATAGAAAGATAGAAGGTTCCTATATTGAGGTTTTCATCTCACTGTGAAGTTTGTTTTTTTCTATTATTCTTTGTAAGATCAAATTTCACTTCAGAAAAAAATAAATGAAAGAGTTACTTGTATCCTTCACCATTCCTATGACGTACTTTATCAATAGCCACATTCACACAGAGTTACAATAGGATTTCATATGTCAGTACGATGTTGCCGGCATCATCAATACGTCTAGATTTCCAGAAATTGTTCTTTGAATACATTAGTTGCGTTTTATTTGTTCCATTCTGGTAGCGGTGGTGGGAACAGAATGACGTTTGCAGATAAAACGTGAAACTTTTTGACCTTACATGAGAGAATTGACATATTATAGATGATAGAGGTTATATTTATATATTGGGGCTCCGAATCTAGAAAATGAATCAACGGATATTTGGAGAAGTGATTGTGGTGATTGGAGAAACTTTTATGAGTATTCACTTTATCTGGGAATGAACATATGGAACCTGTCTTACTTCAAAGTGATCATATGTTTGTGAACCTCACGATAAAAATTGTCTTAATATTTTCTACTTTCGAAAAATTTAGTTTTTCATCAATCTTATTTAATTCTTTGACAACTGTCAACAGTCATTTCACGTCGTTACTTGTAGTGAAAAATTGCTAATAAAATAACACATCAAAATGATTCCGGTGGCGGAATCGGATAAATAAAACGCAACTATTATAATTATATCTCAACAGCAATGGGATAGAATGGGCTCTTTAATCCTACTTCGTGGAGTATTTTTGAATAATTTGCTGGAAGAAGTTGATTACTAATAAAGATAAATAACGACATAAATTTTGTTCATTTTCGAGTGAATTATTACAAGAAAGTCCGAATCAATTCAGTAAGTCTGGCTTTTCTGACTTTTTCATATAAGTTGACTTATTCCAACTCTACCTATGTTCTGATCCGAGTAGAAGAACTTGCGTCTGAGCAGGACGGTTTGGGTTTCGTCGATGCCCTGCTCACGGAGGGTCTTTGATGGGTCCAGCCAGTTCACCTCGTCGTCGGTGTGGAGTTTCTTGCGCAGCTGCTCCATCTTGAAGTCGCGCTCGCGTTCTTCCTTCTTTCGTTTCAGGGTGAGCGTGCCGTAGTTTCGGTTCTCTAGAAAAAAAGAAAAAAAAAAGAATCATAGCTTTTACTGGTAGTTGATATGATTTCTTGATTCGTAATATCTGTGACGACCCATCTTAGTGAAAACAACATTAGAGTCAACTCCATCAAATATATTTACTTTATTTTAATAATCATCATCGTTTTCATTACTCCATAAGAAACTAATACACTTAGATACATAACTAACGACTCCAATCACTGTTTCCAACACAAAATAGCAAGTTTGAATTTCCTAGTACAGGGTGATTGACTATGGATTTCTCGACTTCAACAGCTGATATCTCGAAAACGAAAGAAGATATTTTAAATTTGGAGAAAGGTACTTGAATGAGATGTCATTTCCTTCTAGAAAATGTGTTCTCTGCTTGATTTTATCATTTCATATACAGGGTTCGTGAAACAAATTTTTTTTTTCGTCAATGCGTCAATGGTTAGATCAAAATAGTAGATAAATTAATACATAGACATAAATTCCAGTTATCACTCAGGCATTCTACGACTTTTCAAGCGGATAAAATCAATCAGAAAAAAATCCCAACCCCTTTCAATCCCAAGTACACAAGAGGATTTGATAAGGTCTTCAAATACTTAGGTTTTGAAAGCGTGTATCAGTCTGGGTCCTAGTTAGGCAATTTATCAGAAGATAAGGTGGGACACCCTTGAAAAGTCAGGAATATATGAAATTAGATGTAATGATTGTGATGAAACATATATAGGCCAAACCAGGCGTCCCATAAAAACAAGGTTCAAAGAACACTTAGCACATTTGAAATATGGTAGGTTAGATAAATCGTGTGTAGCCGAACACATGTTCAATCACAATCATAACACACATATCAGAAACCTCAAATTAGTTGAGCAAGCTAATAATGTTAGAAAATTAGATGCATATCTGTTGAAATCTTTGAATAAATCACAAATCGTCAATCCATGATTAATGGATCATTTAGCATGGTAAATATTCATATTCGAAATGCAATTTTAATTAATTGAGTAGGAAAAAATCATAAACATACCGATGTTTTCTTGGTTCTCGATATCCTCTAGTACCAAGGAGTATTCGTCGTGGTTCGTGATGCCCAGTTTCGTGCAGATCACCACCATCAGGTTGGCTATGATCTGCGAATCGTCGACCATCATCGTCTTGATGGCGCCGTCCAGCATCTTCACCCGCAGCTGTCTGAGCTTCTTCCTGTACTCGATGGTGTCGCCGTTCCTCAGGATGTAGTATTCCAAGTTCCTCGCCGGCTCTAGCCACACCCCTGTTTTGTTGTCCTCGTCGGTGAGAAAGAGACCATAATCTGTATCTGAAATTAGTTTAAGGAATCATCAAACTCAATAATTAATTTTTTTTTCGATGCGTTGTTGAATCCTTATATGTTTTTTGGGGAGGGAGAGTTCTAGGGTTTGGATTCAGTAAATAATTATGTTTTTATAGTATCATTTGAAACGTTTCGCCCTCGGTTTCACCTATGGCCATAGGCTTTTTTAATCTTAAAAAATTTTTGATGTGGAAAAAATTGAGTAGATTCTCGTGGCCTAGCAGTAGGCAGAAAGTGTTGTACGTACCTCAACCAGAGTTATTTCTTTGGTAGCATTTTTTGTTTGTATTTTTCCTCTTTGTTCCTTAATTTCCAATATATATATTGGATCTTTCTTTTATTTTATTCAGACCAGTCCCTCTTATCCTGATATCTATTATGGAACAAAATAAAAACGGTATTGAAGTTTGATGCGAACAGCCCTTCTGCCCCAAATAAGTTTCATTCATTCTAAGAATTGAAAGAGATCGAACGGAAAAAATAAATATCAAAAACTTGAGAATAGTAAATTTGGTCATGATGTCGATATTTTCTCTAGTTTATGGACAATCTCGGTCTTTTGAACTTTGATTGATCACCTGGGTCATAATCAACTGCATTTCGAAGAAGCTGATTCTCATGAACCTCAGCTTTTTCGAAAGTCTTGATGTTTCGTTCTTTAATGACTGACACGATTGAAGGGAGTTTCAGATCCCTGGCGATCTGGTTATTGCGAACATACCAAGGAGATCCTGTCACCATTCTCGCGACTTTGTTTTGTAATGTTTGTAATCTGGTGATATGAGATTTAGCTGTGTGGCCCCAGACTACTGAGGCATACAGTAAAATTGGCCTGATAGCCATGATATAAATATTCAATTTTTGTCTCAAACCCAATTTACTTCGCCTGTTTAGAAATGGATACAGGGCTCCAATGGCTCGTTTAGCTTTAGAAACTTGCTGTTCAATGTGCTGGGCCCAGGTGAGCTTTTTGTCAATGCACACACCTAAGTATTTAACTTGTGAAGACCACTCTAACTCATGACCATCCAGGACTATTCTGGTTCTGGGAGGCCTCCGCTCCCTTCCGAGTGCGACCAATTGTGTTTTTGTAGGATTCAATTTGATCTTCCATCTCAGGAAGTACTCCTGAAGAGAATTCAGTGCGCTTTGGAGGTTCATAGCTGCTTGCTCGAAATTTGTCGAATATGCAAGAACTGCCGTATCATCAGCAAAAAGCGACATCTTGCACATCACCTAACCTAACCTAACCTAACCTAACATAGAAGATAATGAAAGAACATAGAGGAAAAAATACAAAAAAAAAATGCTACCAAAGATATAGCTCTGGTTGAGGTACGTATGTACCTAAGAATTTCTGCCTACTGATAGGCCTACAAATATTATAGAATGCACACAGCACGAGACTCTATCTACTCCATTTTTTCCAGACCAGTGAATTTTATGTAAAGAATGAAGATTGAAAAAGCTTATGGCCATAGGCGAAACGTTTCAAATGATACTATAAAAACATAATTATTCACTGAATCCAAAACCCAAGAACTATCCCTCCCCAAATCTCAATAATGAGAAATCATATTCAATTCGTTCAAAAATAATTATAAGAATTACTGATATACAGAGTGTCTCAGGTTCAACTCATCTGACTTTGACAATCGATAGCAAAAATCAAAATATTATATACGTATCTTTTTGTTTTGTCGTGGAGAATAGTATATTGTTTAACGAGCACGGAATGATAGTGCAGCATGAGCCATAGGCGAATGCTACAATCCTTCGAGTAGGAAATTAGCATTCGGTGCAAGTTATACACTATAATTTTTCTACGGCTATAATAGATAACAGCGGCATTTTCGATTTCTTCGTCTTGTAGCCATCTGATTTCCTGTCAAGTAATGCTCATCTATTAGACAGAGCTGTCACTGTCATTGCTTGAAATTTTACATTCCATGGATGATGAGTTTTCTTTAATAATAACACAATGGAGTCATTGTGATATCAGATACGGAAATAAAATTGATGACATACAAAGTACCTCATCTTGCGTAATAGCCGTAGAAAAATACTATTTCATTTTATTTCATACAAGACGATGGATTTGAATTCATTCATTAAAATTGTGTATAAGATGTTCCATTTTTGAGTCCAGCCTTAGGGTCCAGCCTTATCCTTGAAAATGGAATCACTGAATGAAAATACTTACTTTCTCCACTGGCTTCCGAGCATTTTTCTCTGATGATTCGACAGGCATCATGTACAGTGGTCGTAGGATCGAAGACGATAGTTTTTGTGACATTGCCTTCAACAATGTTGATTTTGAGTGATAGCGCCATGATATTCGAGAGATTGATCTGAAAAAAATATAACAATTGATACTTCCAAAGATAAGTGAAAAATTTGATTTTTTTTTTCTATATCATTTTATATATCAAAGTGTCACTGACAAGCAAATGCATTTTTCTTTTAGGCTCTCTGATATAAAAACATTTTCACACGCAGTGACATTTCGGGGCAAATTCTGGTTTGTTCTCACTACACGTATACTGAAATAATTCTTGTTTTTATTTTCTAGCAACGAGGGGGGACAATCACAAAAAATCTGGAATAATGAATAAAATGTAGAATGAAATAAGGTATTTTCAACAATTCATAGCTATAACAAAAAAAGCATGTTTACCGGGCCCATTCTATTGGAATAGGAACACTAGTATAAGCATGTACCCACGTTGAAAGATTGAAAATTCAGTAGAAAAACCAATTCAATATACCCATGAGAGTGGCTTCCTCGGTGGCTTCAATTCATTTTCGTTTTAGAATTCTGTTTCTCCTTCCCAAAAAATTAATGAAATCCTGTTTGGCAAGTTCGTTCTTAATCCGTTCGAGGTTCAACATTTTGAAATGATGAACGAAATGAATAACTGATATCAAGGATATCTCGAAAACTGCCGGTTTCAGCATGTATTTCTCATTCGCAAATTCGTGGTTTTCGCCCCAAAATATGTTGAACTGACAAACCTTCCCGAAATTAAACCCAAAAAAGCCACTTGATTTCTGGACCATCATCAGCAAAACCACGGGCAAACCCAATTAGAAAAGAGAAGGTTGAAAAACGTCTCCTGAACCCATTTTTCTTGTGCAAACCAAGGTTCATACGTGGTTGACGCCCCAAAATATGTTGAACTGACAAACCTTCCCGAAATTGAACCTAAAAAAAGCCACTTGACTTCTGCAACAACATTAGCAAAACCACGGACAAACCCAAATAGAATAGAGAAAGTTAAAAAACGTCTCCTGAACCCATTTTTCTTGTGCAAAACAAGGTTCATACGTGGTTTACGCCCCAAAATAAGTTAAACTGACAAACCTTCCCAAAATTGAACAAAAAAAAACCACTTGACTTCCGGAACATCATCAGCAAAACCACGGACAAACCCAATCAGAAAAGAGATAGTTGAAAAACGTCTCCTGAACGCATTTTTCTTGTGCAAACCAAGGTTCATATGTGGTTTACGCCCCAAAATATGTTGAACTGACAAACCTTCCCAAAATTGAATCCAAAAAAAGCCACTTGACTTCGGGAACCTCACAAGCAAAACCACGGACAAACCCAATTAGAAAATAGAAAGTTGGAAAACGTCTCCTGAGCCCAATTTTTTTGTGCAAACCAAGGTTCATACGTGGTTTACGCCCCAAAATATGTTGAACTGACAAACCTTCCCAAAATTGAACCCAAAAAAGCCACTTGACTTCTGGGACATCATCAGCGAAACCACGGAAAAACCCAATTAGAAAAGAGATTGTTGAAAACGTCTCCTGAATCCATTTTTCTTGTGCAAAACAAGGTTCATACGTGGTTTACGCCCCAAAATATGTTGAATTAACAAACCTTCCCGAAATTAAACCCAAAAAAAGCCACTTGACTTCTGGAACATCATCAGCAACACCACGGGCAAACCCAATTAGAAAAGAGAAGGTTGAAAAACGTTTCCTGAGTCCTGAACCCATTTTTCTTGTGCAAACCAATGTCCATACCACTGAAATCTAAACCTCCTGAACAACCTCTCGCAAACAAAACCCAATCGGGACCCAAAAAAACATCGAAAATCGATCTCCCGCAACATCACACACCCACAAACTGAGCCCTCATCCAAGAAAGGAAAACTCACCTTACACGAAACGCGCTACAGCCACCCGTCATCCAGCCAGCCATGACAATCACCTTCCTAAAAGGACGCACCGGAAAACCATGAAAAACAATCGCGATCGCCTCTCGGCCAACTAGATTATCGACTTGGCACTTGGCAGGCCACTGGAGAAATAAGTCAATAGACCACCGACAGCGGTGCTTGTGCTTGCCCCAAGAAGGGAGAAGAAGAGGCGAACGACATGTTCTAATTGAATCATACGCGGCGAAAGTGAGGGTGAATCGAGGGAGGCTGTGCGTTGCCGGGGCGACGGAGCATCGCGTCGACAGGCCGGAGCGGCGTCGGCTGGCAGTGGCGGCGCATGGAAGGGGGCGCGGGGGTCGAGAGAAATGTTTCGCCATGGGCGTAGGAGCGAGGGTGACCATTTTACGCAGATTGTGGCCCAAGTTAGTACTGAATTGGGGATAACAAATTAAATATTCTTTCATTGGCATCATTGACACAATGTCATACACACAATTTGAAAATGAAATGTTATTCTTACAGTACACGTCAAATTGAAAAATTCAAATTGGTATCTGATTTTGATTGAGTATTTTGATCGAGATAAAAATCATCGATCGATTAAAAATATCAGGTTGCTACTAGACGAAATGTTGGTGCGAATATTCATAATTTTCTATTGATGATCCAACAGCGCATTTCCTTCTAGAATAAAAGGATTCGTGGAATTTTAAAAATAAAGGTGTTTGATAGTTTCACAGATAATAAGCTTTGTAATAACCATATATAGGGTGAGTCTGAAAGTGAGTTTTTTTTTATTTATCAGGGTATACCTATATTTCGCCAAAATTATTTGTTTGGCCCAAAATTCATGTACAAAATTTCAAGGTTTTGTGCATTAACAATCTAATTTCATCAAACTCAGATTTATTAGAGAGAATATGATGTAGAAACACTTCGAAACAAAAATTATCAATAGGTTGAAAATGTAAAAAGAGGTTTTTGATTAATTTTTCTGAAATAATGCAACTGTAGGGTATCTAATGCTGGACTAATAACGGTTTTTTTTTATTTTTTGGGAAAATGTAAACAAAATGTTTTATAGTTGTAGTCTTCTTAAAACATTTGAATACGTGTACTTTCGTTATCTTCAATATTTTATATGATCAATTGGTGAGATATACTATATCCTGTTAAAAAAACTTCACTTTCAGATTCACCCTGTATATGAGTCAATATTTGAGACGAAAAAATGGATCCTTCCGATGCTATACAACTCCACCAAAACTATACTTTATTTAACATTGGAATTGGGATATGTTCCGAAGCTTCGAAGCTTCATCATCAGCCAAAATTATTTGTTTTAGAAAGTACTACAATGAGAAAGACAAAAAGCTACGGGGGCCAAGAAATTTTGTTGGGATTCGAGGTCAAATGCTTAAAAATTGAAAATTAAATTTCTTCCAGACTGACAACAACTCCATCACATTATTATTTTATAAATTATTTTAATCCCCCCTAAAATGAAACCCATCTTTGTTTCATTTCATTAAGATAAGATATAACTTAACCTCTTTTCATTCTCACGTAAGCATAATTTCATCAATCAAAAATATTTTGTGCTCCCCACTTTCCTTCAGGATATGTAGTAATATCTGATAAGGCTGAGGATGGACATATACAGGGTGTTTCGAAATTCGACCGACAACGCTTGACAGGTGATGGCCCTCTTGATGTCATAATCACTGGGATGAAGTTGAGAAATTTAAATAGATTTTTCGCAATATCTCAAGAAAAATTGAATATAATGCATTCAAATTCGGTATATGGTTTCATCTTTCAATGGTTAATTTTTTGACAGAAAGACATTCCGAGAATTTTACCCAGAGGTGCGCTACAGAGGGTTGTGATAACTTTTCCTCCCATATTTTCTACGCCACTGATGAAATTTCGATCATCTCCAATTTCTCGAATTGATTGTTCAATTATGTTGAAAAACTGCATCATCTTCAACTGAGCTAAAATGAAAAGTTATCGAAATATTTGACCCAAAATAGAAGTTTGCATAGTAATTTTTCATCTTCTTCAGTAGTAGAAGATTACAAAACTTTTTATACAAAATAGTATCTAATCTACTCAACACAAAGAAAATATTTTTTCAATTTTCTACTATTGAAAATGATGAAATATTACTATGAAATCTTCTATTTTGGGTCGAATATCTCGAAAACTGTTCAATTCAGCTCAGTTGAAGGTGATGCATTTTTTGGAGAAAATTGAACAATGAATTCGAGAAATTGGAAATAATTAAAATTCAATCAGTGGAGTAGAAAATACGCCACTCTGAAAAACCATGGACTGTCATTTCCTTCAATGATGTAACATTTTCTCAAAGCAGATATAGACGTCGACCAAAATACATTTTGTTAATTGTTAAGAGCTCGCATACAAGGAAGTCAATATGAAGGGGAGGGGGGTAATGGGGGTAATTACCCCCGCCCCTCCCAAGAATAATAAAAATTTGTAAGATATAACAGTTGTTTGAGCATATTTATGGCTGTTTGCTTTGTGATTGGCGAGGTGATTGGTTTGTCCAAAGAAGTTTGGGATTATTTCTAAATTGAATATTTATATTATATATGGCTCTCTAGACTCTATAACATGATTTTTTTTTCATTACCTGAACGAACAAGCCCAAGAAAAAAATTACCGGCGCAACTGGTCACATACTTCGTATCAGAACATAATGAAACAAAATATTGCTGCTCAATTTCTCTAATTTCTCTAGAAGGGATTAAATATTTAGTAGGTACCTTTTTTGTTTGAGAACATAAATTCAAACTCAAGTCCATACTCTGCGAACGATTTGGGCGACTAAAATTAACTTGAATCATCTTTGTCCGGAATTGATTGTCGGGTCGTGTATTTATATTTTTCATGACTAATAACGAACTCATCGACAATTTCATCACTTCCAAGTGACGAAGGAGTGCCACAGATATTTCAGGAATTGTTATCGGCAGTCAAACGAAATTTTATTCGCACTCGATCCCCCTAATAATATTACCCATTTCGGGGGTTTCAGTTTATTAATTTCAGGCGCCCCGCGCAATTCCGTCGTTCTGTATAGGAATTCGGCCGTATTTAGTGACCATAAAGAAGGGATATAAAAGCGAGTCAGAGAT